AAATGCAGGAGCGGTCTGCAACCGCCCCGAGCTTATTCCGAGCTGTCAGCCTCTGGGTGCCAAGGTTCGCAAATCCATGAACAATCGCCGGCCTGTTGCGCAAGCAAAGCCATGTCCCCAGCAACGCTTGCCTAAAGTCTATATAAGCATTGCTCAACTCCTCCTCCCAAACCTAGGGCTGAGGTATAGTCTAGTCTAGCACCAAGTCGAAATCCAAAGCAAATGCAACAGGCGATGATTGGATCAGGTGCTGACCGGGTGTCTCCTTCATTTACGACTTCTGGAATCAGCTTGGCCGAAGACACCTTTGGCATCCCGAGACCTCCGACTCTCGCCCCGAAATTCTGAGCAGGCTGCTAACATCCTTGGCACCTCCTGCTTGAATTTCCTCAGCTGCAAGCAACCGCTGAGGAGGGTCACGGGGCACCCCGGATGGTTGTTTCAACCAGGCTTCTCAACTCGGGATGCACCAAACCAAGGAGGGATTTCCACCACATGCCCCAGGCCCGCGCCAACGACCAGCAAGAGTCCCCCCCCCCCCTCCCCAATTAGCCGAACCCACTTAGACTATGCCGTTGGAGGCAGGGGTGAGTTGCAGCCAGGAATTTGAGTGGGAAGCAAGCCCCCGTCCAGAACAAGATCGTTGGAGCCTCACAAAACCCTTGCGAAAGGGAGAGCTGGGTCAACACATAAATTTCGAGTGCTATGCAACTCTGTTGCGCCAACGGAACGGCCTTGTGCGTGCCGAGCAACCAAGACGGTCTTGTGACCCTGGTGAAGCTGAGCCAGTTGGTTTTCCTTCCGTTGGACACCAAGTCAGCCGATTCGGCAGCTTGTCTAGTAACGTCTGCATAAGGGCTGTGCTTGAGCCAAACATGTTACACTCTCTTAGGCCGACTCCTGGGTTGAAATGACCTGTTCTCACCTTTCTCAGGAATTGAGCGTGTTGCTCATGTTACAGGGCTCCCAGGATTGGCCGCCAAGCATTCAGCAACCTGATCATTCACCCAAGTTTTTCTGAAGGCAGGCACATGAAATCGAGCCGCAAAAGCCAGGCCGATCTGTTGGCTTCTTCAAATGGCGTCTCGCGTGGCTGATGGCGGGGCTGTGCAAAGCATTGAGCGCGTGCCTGGCCCGAATCAAAACCATCGCTGAGGCTCCACCACGCTGGAAGAGCTCTCAGCCACCAGGCTGGCGCGGGAATTGTTCAAGTTATCCACCTGGGCGCGCGAGCAAGGCCCTGATCTTGGACAGCCACCGAAGAGGAATCCTGTGGCTGGTGGGGCCATGAACCCTTGGCAAACGTGGGTCCAGCCTAGCTCAGATGTTATCAGCTGTGCTTGCTTGGCAACTCAGGGCAGGTTCCCCTTTCAAATTCAACCCACAATACTTGATGCAGCGTCACCCCCCCCCCAAAAAAAGGAGGAAAAGTACCTAAGTTGACCATGGGCAAACAAACACAACCTTGATTGGCAAGGTCAGCAAATTCCGAGTTCCTCAGAAGCAAAACCCAAAAGCCAGACGAGCTCCGCCCTCAGCCCTAGCCTGACAATGAAGTGGAACACATTCGCCCCATGCAGAATCAAGGTTCCAAGCAAAAAGCAAAAGCCGTCAAGCCTTGCCTCCTTGTGCGTTGTACAAAAGCCGATCGCATACTGGGAGACATGTCTCACCGCACAACTTTGGAACTTGCAGATATTGGCAGCGGCTTCTATGCAAACACCAAGCCAATTGGCAAAACGAAGCCAGACGCAAACCTATACAAGCCCGCGGCACAAGTCGACTTGTGCCAGTGAAGGCGAGGCACACTTGCGATGATCTGGTCATTGTCTGTGCGCAGGCGGTCAACCTCCTCATGCAGCCTCGCATACCTTTCACGGGCCCGTGGCCAATCAAGCGGCCTTGATGCGCAAACTTCAGGTCTACCAAACTAATCTTGCACACTCTTGTGCCACTGGGGCAGAGAAGACACTTTCGCTTCCGCAATGGGCACTTGCGATGCCTTGCTGTTGCTGTTCAAAAAATATCCAAGTTCAGCATAGTTCAGTGGAGGAAGCAAAGAGTCCTGACATTGTCCAATATTCATTCGGCGGGGGGGGGGGTGCACCAAAACGAGGGGCGGTGACTCAGCATGTTTCAGTGCCATGGCCACCTTGTTGCAGTCGCAAAGTGGCCACATGAAAAAGGCCTGTCAGCTTTGCTTTGGCCAGGCAAAGAAAACCATCGGCACCTTGCCATCTTTTCGCCCGAAGCCTCTCTCTGCCGGGCGGCAGCGGGCTGTCCTTCCGGATAGGTCGCCCGCTTGCCACGGCCGCCTCCACCTCCTCCACCAGGACCTCAGCGCAGGGCGCGCTGGTGCACGAGCGCGCTCTGAGTGGTTGAGGCCATGAAACAATCCGAATAGAAGGGCAAGCCAGCACTGCCCAAAATGAGGGCCTTTGGGCGATTTCTAGAATAAACTCGGCATGTGGAAGGGCAAGTCATGACCTGATGTCTCAATATGTCTCATCGGTTCGGCTTGCTGATAGCGGAGGGCCCCCAAACGAATCTAAGTCATGACTTGCTTGATTGATTGTTGGCTCGCCTGTAGATGTGTGTCTGTGTGCTTTTGTCAGGTGTAGGTGTTGCTGATTGGCGTTGGCATTGTGCTACAGAAACATGCCGGCCCAGTATAAGCCTATCTTGTTACAGTGCAACGCACATGCAATCACACCCGCCATCCCTTCGCCAGCCAAACGAGCCAGTGACGCCAGCATGTTAAAATCAGCAAATGTGTACAACCCATCAGAAAAGAAAAGAATACCAGACTATACTTCCGGTTTCAGCCAAGAAGGACGTGTCCCACGAGTGAAGCTCGTCGGTTTTGCGTCACTGCCAGAGTCTTGGGGTATGTGGGGTGTCGAAGGGTGAGGTCCCTCAAGGCGGGGCTGCAACCATAGCGCACCCGCCTGCGCCTCGCTGCCCACAGCGCGAAGGCCGGGCGCCCGCAGTGCCCATGCGGCTGGTGCACGCCCTAGCGCAGCTCTCACTGAGGGTGGACCAAACTCTGCCAAAACGAGGCCTCAGGGTTCCTTCCCTATGCTTCCCCAAACGTCACCCCGCCAGGGGGGAGCTCTCTCTTAAATTGACAGCCCAAAGGTGAGATTTGAAGTGTAAGTGGCAGTAAGACACCTGATGCACGCACAGATTTGTTTGGATTTCACAATCTCGCAAGGAAGGGGACACCGTTGCCCCAAGACCTGGAAAGAACGGGCGATCACACTTGGGAACTTTCACAATGTATGAACCACTTTGGGAAACCATCCGCTTCGGGCAAATCATGCCAGGTTCAAAAGCGACCAAATCCAAAAATACAGCCGAGTAAGGAGGCGGAGGAGGAGGAGGAGCAAGGAGGTTGCAGGCTGCGACGTTTGAAACAATGGCAGCCTGCATTTACAATACTTGGGAGCCACCAGGGAGCGCCAAAACTATATCACAAGGTAAAAGTACTAACAGTACAGTAATAGTGGCCATGATAGAACGCAGCGGTCCTCTGGCTGCATGAGGGGCAAAAAAATCACAACAAACTCCGGGGGCCATAATTGCACCGCCGTGCCATTGTTGGCTGCGGCAGTAAGGGGTAATCAATCTAGAGAGGGTCAGAGTCCAAGGAGGTGGGCTCGAGATGGGTTTGGGTTGCCCAAACCTGCCAAACCTGGAAAACGTGCCAGCAAACAAGTGGGCTTCAACAGCTTGCCCCCCGGGCCCAGCGACTGGCGGGCGACTGGCAACCACGGCCGGAACCGCACCGAGACAATTCAGGCGAGTCAGCCGCCGGACAGCCATGAACGGCAGCCTGGGGATGCTTGGACATGTCACGCGCCATGTCAGAATTTCATTCGGGCGTTTGACGAAAAATCCCGCAGAACAATCTAAAAATTGCATATGTAGGTCCTTGAATATTGGACAAAGTTCACAGATGGAGACAGAGACAGACACAAAGACACAAAGACACAAAGACACAAAGACACAAAGACACAAAGACACAAAGACACAAAGACACAAAGACACAAAGACACAAAGACGCAAAGACGCATAAACACACAGAGAAACACAGAAACACAGAAACACACACACACACACACACACACATACACACACGAGCCACCTACAAACAAGCGCGCGCACATGCGCGCACACACATATACACACACCATACACCATACACCATACACCACATACACACATATACCACATACACCAAACTCACTGACACTCCATGTGCCACTGGATAGCCTTCAAAGCAAACCATGAGAGTAGCTGAACACACAAGTCATCGAACATATTGAAGATTTCATTTCTGCCGAGAATCTCAAATCCAAAGCCCAACTCAGAAATCGCAAAGGAGGGCAGGAAGTGCTTGCCAAGCGGCATTGCCATTGCTGGATTGCCAAGCGAGGCAATGGAACGGAGCTTGGTTCGAGGCCTGATCTAATCTCTGCTCCGCCGTTTCGTCTTCAAAACCCTTGCGCTGAGGTCTACTTTCCTCACCTGGCGGTGGCTTGCGGCCTTTCAATGAGCCAACGAACACATTCTTTTATGTTTTGAGCCAATCTGCAGCTGAAGGCCAGCAGCCGGTCTCTGAAAAACCGTCATGTCAAACTCCGTTTTGGGTGTGGCTCAAAGCTTTTTGAGCCAGGGGACCGCAGGTCTTAGCCTACTTCTCCATTTGCAAGTTTGGAAATCCCCGATTGTTGAGCCACACCCGAGTCGTGCGTAAGAAAATATTGCCCCTACCCTCTCATGTTGGCACCCACCTAGCATTGCCAAAGCGCTGGAAGGCATCGGGCCGCTGTGCGGATGAAAGAAGCGCCGTTCACATGTTCCATCCATGAATTTTTGAATCACTCTGTCAAAATCTGTCAAAAGTGGCTAGGCACAAATCCCGGGTCCACTCAAATTCACAGCCTCAGCCAATAAACCGCAGGGTTCGCCGATCGAAGAAACCCCCCAGCTTCGGCCTTCCGCCGCATCTCCTCGAAGTTGTTCCTGGCGTGCTCTTCCAGCTGCCTTGCAGGGACGCCCACAACCCGAGCCAACGGCAGAGGCCCTAAAAAGCGGCCGGCCCTTCACACCAACGGGGACACCCAGAACTCAAGCCAATGTATGTGCTACCATCTATCGTTCTCACCAATTTTTTAGGGAAGCCCATTCATTTGTGTGTTTGTTCGATTTGTTTACACCTTTTGCTTCTGTTGGGGGTTTCTCGGGGAAATTTGTGAGTCCTGGGAAGTCGAACAAAACATGGGAAAAGACATAAACTTTGCCGAAATCGCAAATCGAACATAAGAAACATGTGAATAATCAGAACTGTTGCGGAAATTATGTGGAGCTCGTACATGTGAATCGTAAAAGAAATCGACTGACACCATCAACCACGGCACAATAAAAAACGCCAGTTAGCCTGAATAGTAGTCACAAATCTAACGAGATCACAGCCAAAAGGCGCATCTACATCTGGCATAAAGCGAGCACATGCGAGCACAACATTGATGATGGCGAAGCACCCGAGAAGCTGCCACACTTGTGACACGCCAACAAATGCGCATCTAGATGATGCCAATCCTCTGCAAACCGCTCATGTCTGTACTTCCCCGGTGCTGATTACTGTTGCTCCACTTCCGCAGCCTCCTTCACCCCCGAAAGGAGGCTTGTTTTGCACGCACTTTTCTTGAAGATTGCGCATCGCAACAGCTTTGCCCAAACTTCCCACTGAGAAGCAAACAACTTGCAGCTCATCGGCTCAGAAAGCCAGACGAAGTGCCCGCCCTCGCCTGGCGAGCTCATCGTGCTGATCCTGGAGAGGAGGAGCTTGCAACTTGCACGTCCCACACTAGGCCCTATTTCATGTGCTCCATGGCCTTCCTCGAAACCCAAACCGTATCCAAGAAAGCAAGACTGGCACACTGTGCGTGGCTGTCCGTCAACCGGCTACCACCTCCCCAAACTCCGTGGCTACATCATGCCCGAGCAAATCACAAAGATCACCAGCCTGAAACAAGTGACCACCATCAACCATGATAGGACCTGATAGACAGTGACAAGCCGCGCAGTTTCACCCAAAGTGAGGTCGCCGCACACCCGACCTGTATACAAACATTTCGTGTGCAATGTGGTAACCTCATTGAATTCCTTGATGTCACTCCTGGCACCGGGAAACTTGGTAAGTGGATAGTAAGCCTGTTACAACCCACAAACGCCGTGGTTCTAAGTCTCCGTTCAGAAGGTCATCTCACCAGGCCACTTACCATGGTTATAAGTCGCCGTTCAATGGGTTGTCTCACCAGTTGCTTACAAACCACTTGCCTGACGTACCGAATCGATCGCCCCGATAGCGGCATGGATCCTGCAGGCGCTGGATCTCCTCCTTCTGCCGCGCTTGCAACTCCAGCGCCTGCGGCTCGGTGCAAGCCGCCGCCAGCTAACGCCACAAGTCTGGAGCTGGAGAATGGGAACCCTTGAGCAGAACCTTTGGTTGATGAATAGGTCTACGGGGATTCACCACTGGAGGGAACACTCCTATGAATAGGAGGGGGTTTATTCATCCAAAGCAAACATTGCCCATTTGGGGTGTTCCTTCGGACTCCGTACTTCTTGCCAAGCCCTCCCTGCAACCTGGCAAAGCCGCCGGCAAGAATTATGCCCGTGGTGGGCATCCGAAACAACACGCATACAAGAAGCACAAAAGCGCGTAACAAACTGAAACTCAAGCCGCAATGTCGTAGCTGAACCTTCCATACGCAAGCAAACCATTCAAGGGGAATGATACCCGTTGGATACTGATTCCAGAACCCTGCAACTAGCAATCTAGATCGCTCGATGTGACAAAGATTCGAAACGCACGGAGAGCATTGGGCATACAGTAACGCTCTGCAGCTTGATTCGCTGCCATCTCTCTTGCTATGTGTGAACACACCTTCCATGAATCTAGGGAGGTGGCGCCAAGTTGTGGCATGAGCTTTCAGTACACGAGCACGGCCTCCTGCTCTTTTTCCTCCAAGCCTCAGCACGCACACCCTTGATTCCATGGCCAATGGGGTGCAATCCTTGGTTCCTTTCATGTTCGCGTCTCGCAACGAGCAGCCAAGCGTGTCTACCAATTTGACTCAATGATCAATCAATCAGTTTCCAAAGTACTACTGCCTAGTTGCAGCCTTAAGAAAAATCCCTTCCTGTTCCGCTCCCCGCGCATATTCTGATTATGGCATTCCAGGTCCACCGCAACCGCGGATTCATTTGTACCGGCGTTGTCTTGCATCCCATCAGCGGCACTTTGAGGCCACTGCTCTTGCCGTGCGTGGCCTGTAGGTTCTCCAGCCTGGCTCAAGGCGCCACCATGCCAAACCTCACCACGGAATTCCTGAGTATGTAGCTCCTATCCTTCTATTCCTCGCATCTAAGGCAAGACCTGCCGGCGTTCGAGCAGGTCAACAGGTTTGTTGAAATGCCAGGTCAGTGGTAAGAACACCAGGCTCAACCCCCCCGCCCCCCCTCCAGCACTTGCTCTACACACCAGCGCACCAGCGCACCAGCGCAAACAACGGACCAAAGCAAGCCTCTGCGCAGCTTGCTCTAGCGACTCCTCGAAGTGGGCTTTCTGCTGATCCATATCCTGACCGAGTCTTTGGCCATGGCTGTCCTCAGATCTCCTGCTAAAAGCTTAACTTGTGGTGGGTGAAATAGAACTCCCCGCTAAACACTGAAAACCTAAGGGGCATGGCTGGGAACCCCAAGTCTATGTTCAGATCTGTGAAGGCTTCTCCCCGCCCTCCGCTGCGATATAACTTTACCGCGCCTGTTGATACTCGGACTTCAGCGCTGTGGCCTCAGGCGGTCCGAAGCTTCGAACATGCCTTGCGATTTTCAAGCCTTGGCTGTTGGGCTGCCGGCTGCCTCCTCGAGGGTAAACACCTTCTGCTCATAGGACGCCTTGCGCAAGACCGGGTCAAAGCAGTGGTGCACCCCCCCTTCCCCACCCCTCGTGCTTTTTTGAAGAAATCCGCGTCTACATCCACTTGATGCAATCCGCGGCCTCAAACGGTTTGACCGATGCTCCCACACCCCATGTTGGGGTTTGTGTTTTGGCAGCAGTCCCTAGGTGCCTGCTGCCACTTCCCCGAAAGGAATGACTTTCTGAAGTTACCCCAGTCAGGCGTCCATGTCCAGCAGCATGTGAATGGAGGGATGCACTTCATCATCCAATAGTTTGAGGGCCCCTGCATTTGTGCTGACAGGCTTTTGCTCGCCCAGGGCGATGCCTGTGAGCAACCATTGGAATCGATATATGATATACGCATGTGTATTCCAGGGGGCTCGAAGTTTGGTGGATTCATGCAACTACGTCCTTTACCTCGAAATGAGGAAACGGCTGCCTGATGCCGCTTTTGGCCCCGCAAGCTTCACTGAATCCAGTGCCCCTTGTTTACGCAGCCGGCAGGAGGCACTTCGGTGTGGGCATTTACCTAGCTTTGCTGCAAGCAGACTGGGCTGGGGAGAGTGGAGATGGGTGTGGGCAAGCAAACCATGCCATGACCGTTGGACCGCGCCTCAATTTCCGCGACTCGTGCTGCGTGGCTTTGGCGCTCCTGAGACGCTGCACGCCTAGACTGGCGAACAAAGGCCTTTTGCCGAATTGGTTACACTGGAAATCGGCTGTTATACATGTCGAGCGTAATTTCTAAGGCTCTCCTGACATTGTGACGTGTAAACTTGCAGCTTGTCCTGACTGTCGCGTCTGCCTTTAGTTGCCACGCCTAAGGTTTGGGCCAACAAAAGCTTTCAAACTGCCAGGAGGGGATGGGCAACCTTTCGGTTCTCTCCGACCTTTAAACAGGAGGGCTCCCCAGAAAAAGGCCAAACTGGTCAGGAACCTCATGAGTGCCGTGAGTGCCTAAAAAGCCGATTGAAGCAACAACGAGTGCCAGGGAAACTTTTGCTCCCAAGAAATCACGCCAAAGCAACTGCCAGCGTTTCTTTTTTAGCGGCTGTCAGAAAGAATCTTAGTGTTTGGCCCATATCGCGCATCAGGCTGTGCTCTGGTTTTCTCTGTCTTGCCTTGGTTTGGCTCTTTTTTCCTTTTCCCTGACTCGGATTGTCTCCAAGCCAAGGGAAGCGACCAAAGCGGACGGCTCCTTCTCGAGCTCCATGGCCTGCTCCCGCAGCTGCCCACCCAGCAGCTCCACCTGCAAGGCGGCAGCTTGAGGACTGGAGCTGCGCCGTTCTTTGGGGCCACCCCTCAAAATCGTGGCGGTCCTTTTGGCCTCCCTGGAAAAATGCCACCAAGGGCCACAAATCGTGGGTCGTAGCAGGCTAGGTGGTGGTTTTTGCCGCGACATCTGGCCAAGAAACACAAATAAAAGCCTGGCAAGCAACAGGGCAGCTCTCAAGCAGAATAGCATCGGGGCATCCTTGCCTTTTCATCCCTTTCGGCCACCTTGCGGTCCTTGGGTGCGCGACGTGCAACGAACCCAGGCTGAGGGGCTGAGGCTGGCTGAGGCTGAAGTCCCCGCATGAAGCCCAACGGGTGATCAAAAGGAGCAACATCGGCCCTCTTGCAGCCAGGTCGGTCGCTAGGTTGAAGCAGCCAGCCATGTTTCATCATGCCTCATCATGCACATTGCCGGCTGAGTGCTAGGCGTGGCCAGCATTGAGCTCAGTGATCCGACCTTGGGCGTACCGAAAGAAAATTGCTCAGGAACTGCATTGAATTCTGGCGGCCAACTTCGACTCCCAGCTCCAGCAATGATAGTCCTCAAACCTTGGGTCTAGGGCCGGGCCCTGTCTGTGGCCCAGGCTAGTTGTTTGCATTCGCTCCTGGCCACTCTTGGCAGGGAACAGTTTGCTTGCCACGGTCATCTGGCTGGCTGCTTGACAAAGTTTGTGTTGCCCTTTAGTGTTGCTTCATCTTTCCTAATCACCCTCACAACAAATTACCCTCATGTTCCGCCTGAAAGAGCTTCAGAATGTCAACAAATGACCCTTTTGCCGCCTGAAAGATGCTTCAACCGCACAACAAATGACCCTTCTTCCGCCTGAAAACTGCTTTAAACAAACATCAGGGTGCATCTTTCCTACGGCTGGCTCCAGGTACGGGCTAGCCTCCTCCAACTTCTGCCCCGTGGCTGCGCAAGCTGCCTGCTTCGAAGGGGCGCTCTTTTTCCCCGCTGAAAATGGAGCAACGCACGATGCCCCACTTCCCATGGAGCAACCTGCTTCACGCAAGCCTGGACGATGAGTGCTCTTGGCCTTGTCAAAGCAGAAGCGTCTCCCCAAACCCCTCTTTGTTTCTGATGCTCGGCCTCTCCAATGCGCTGAGGTTGGCCCTCTTTTCCGGTATCCTTTGTTTCAAAAGCTCGCCTTCCAAGACAGCGCTGCTTGGTCGGGATTGGTCACCCGAAGCAACCACATGTCACACAGACTCTGGCCACCAATTGTTTTAAATGATCAACCCAGCACCGCGTTTTGGGAATTTCGGGTAAAATCAATCGGAGGCTCATTCGAAAAAAGGCTGTTGGCCTTCAAGCGTACTCTCTTCCAAGGAATCCAACTGGATTCCATTGGGTCTGCGTGTCTCAAAAGGGAGGCACCCCAAACAAAAGTGCCTTTCATCTTGGCTTTCCTCCACTCCGAAACCAGCAAGCGCTTGCCACGGGGTTCCAAACCAAGACGCCAGGATCCTTCGCCTTCTCCCGGGCCATGGCCCCCTCCGGCCTGGAGCTTCGTGAGCTCCTCCTGGTGCCGGCGAAGAAGCTCAGCGGCCTAGCGAAAAGACGCCGATGCAGGCGATTCGACCAGTTGTGACAGGCACGTCACCCATTTTGCTCTTTTTTTCATGAAAAAAAAGGAAAAATTGTGTTCTCCCTCTCTCACTCTCTCTCTCTCTCTCTCTCTCCTCACTCTCTCTCTCTCTCTCTCTCCTCACTCTCTCTCTCTCTCTGCCGTTGCGTCCAGATCGTCTTGACTCAGCAAGGCAACGAAAAAGGTGCCCAAAGAGTTGCTTTATCTCAAAAAAGAATGCGTGAAGCAACCAAAAAAGCAGAGCTAGCCGAAAGATACGGGAATTTGACATATTCACTTCTGGACCAGAATGCCTCTAGATGGTGTTTGTGAGAATTAGCGCATGATCATAGCAATGCTGGCCGAAATCGTCAAGGAACCTGGGTCCGCTGATCATGAAAAGCCTGCAGCCAGCAAATGAACGCCAAGACCCCTTCGGTAACGTAACAGCTCCTTCCATGACAACCACTCGTGCTTCACCACCTTAGGTCCTTTCGGCATTTCACGAAACCGCCATAAAACCTCTGCAATACACCTTAACTTGGCACCTGGATGCACCCCTGGCTTGGTTGATTCCCTCCGCCAAGCCTCCCCCTCCTCCTTGGCAATGCCTCAGCATTGTTCCGCCATGATGTGCTGAATGTTTCCAGGTGAGACATGCCGGAAGCCAGGTCCAAAGGGGCGAAATACTGCCGGCTGCATCCTTGCTTGAAAGCCATGGGTGAGCAAATCAACGGGCCATCGCCTTGGCAAATGCACCCTGGCCTTCATGCACGCAGAGTTGGGCCAACATGTGCATCTTCAAACATCGAATGCAGCCTTTCCAAAGCTGGCACGCGATTGAATCTTTTGGGGGCATACTGGGAAGCCCTGCGCGCACTGTGCTCGGACTGGACCTGCTCAAGCCTCCAGCGGTTGAGAGTTCACGAGATGAAGCTCTCAATCAAACGGATAACAATTATTGGCTAAACAAGAACAACAAGGCGATCATTCGGTAGAGAAGGCGGGCAATCATGTAGCAAGGGATGACTGGGCCTTTGAAGCAGATGTCTGGCATGTTTGCTTTGCCATGCTTGGCCGTGTTGGCAGCATCCCGGAGTGCCCATAAGACGTGTCCACATGTGCTTGGTTTAAAGCTGCGACGTGGGCAATCAAGCAATCGAGCTTTGCGGCAACATCAACCAAAGGAAAACAAACCAAGCTGGAAAGGGCCACGTCCAACTGGCAGCCGCGTTTCGAGCCGGCTCACGCTGTGACCGCGTGGGCCCTCGAATCCAGCTCTGAAACAAAGCGGACGTCAGAATGATGCTGCAACTTCGGCCCGCTTGTCTTAGGCCGCGCCGTATGCGTGCTTGTCCGTCAAAAATATCTGGATTGATTGGGTCCGTACTTCTTGTATATGTGTGTGTGACACGTGACATCGGCCAATTTGCCGCGCCATCACGCATCTTGCAGGAAGCAAGTAGGTGGAACGAAGAGCAATGGAATAATTGTTCTCCTCTTTTCATAAATGCACCCTCTCTCGAAACATAGTTGTCCCACACCCCAAGTCTCCCAATGCCGGAATAGAATTTGCCAATACTCAACCAATTCTGAATCAGCAAACTTTCTGCCGACCCAAAGTCCAGTCTACCGAGACTAAACTTTAACAAGTTCGAACCCAGCGCAGAAGGGAAGAGTACAGAACGGAACAGAATGGAGCTGATATGGAGTTGAGTCAAATGGTGTGGCGTGAGGCCAGAAAGGATGGAAGAAGGGAGGAGGGAGGGAAGGAGGGAAGGAGGGGAAGGAGGGAAGGAGGGAAGGAGGGGAAGGAGGGGAAGGAGGGGAAGGAGGGAAGGAGGGAAGGAGGGAAGGAGGGAAGGAGGGAAGGAGGGAAGGAGGGAAGGAGGGAAGGAGGGAAGGAGGGAAGGAAGGAGGGAAGGAGGGAAGGAGGGAAGGAGGGAAGGAGGGAAGGAGGGAAGGAGGGAAGGAGGGAAGGAGGGAAGGAGGGAAGGAGGGAAGGAGGGAAGGAGGGAAGCAAGGAGGGAAGGAGGGAAGGAGGGAAGGAGGGAAGGAGGGAAGGAGGGAAGGAGGGAAGGAGGGAAGGAGGGCAGGAGGGAAGGAGGGAAGGAGGGAAGGAGGGAAGGAGGGAAGAAGGGAAGGAGGCAAGGAGACAAGCAGGGACAGGGAAGGGAACAAACAAACACAGGTTGTGGGAACAAAGGGATGGAGGGACAGGCACGGCAAGATCTGTTTAAAGGCAAAAGAACTGCCAGGACCAACACAGAAGGAGACTGGCTCGTGGAAAAGACAGCCCTTTGGGGCGGGAAGCGAGAGGAGGCGCCCCCACGTTGCACGGCTCCATTTGTCAAAGCTCCAAACAGGAAGGCCTGGGTATATGGGGTGATGCGTCTCGATGACATTTGATGCATTTTGGCGATGTTTGATGCACGTCAAAACCCGCTTGCTTCAAAGAAGCGAAAATCAGTTCCGACCCCCATATCTTTCACCATCTGCCCCCTTCAGATATCTCAGGGACCTATACACTTCCCATGGGGGACACGAAGGAACCCGCAGCGCCGCCTCCGCTTTGCTGCGGCCAGGGACTCCTCAAACAGAGCTTTCTCCTGGTCCAGCTCCTCCGAAGCAGCTTGGATGATACTAGCCATACACGGTGGGTGGCCATCCTGCGGCTGCCAACAAAGATTGTCCAAACGGTGGCCACAATGAGGATGATGATGATGATGATGATGTGATGACGATTGTGAGGAGGAGGAGGAGGAGGAGGAGGAGGAGGGGGGAGGAGGATGATGACGATGATGCTGCTGATGCTGGTGGTGTGTGCCTTGAAATAGAGACTTTCTTCCTTCAAGCATGTGAGTAAACCAGATTTTCGCACACGAGGGGGCAGGTTGCAGCAAGCTCCTGCTTGTACTCATTCCTCAGCTCTGATGCCTGGGCAAACGTAGCGGTGTCAAGGAGATAATTTGCTAACTAAGCTGCCTCCAATGGGGCATCTTGCAAGGACAAGTCCTACCCTCGCAAGCGGCCTCACCAAGGTGAGAGACGCACACACATAAACACCCACGCACACACGCACGCACGCACGCACGCACGCACGCACCCACTCACGCACGCATGCTTTTCTCGACGCAAGCACGGACGCATTCACGGACATGCATGGACATGAACGCACATGCACGCACGCAAGCACGATCTTGGAAGAACATTGCCGGAGTACATGGGCAAGGTGCTGAGATCAAGGCTGACCAAGAGGCCTGCTCCTCCATGGTGGTCAGCTTCTGCTCGTAGGATGTCTGCCAATGGAGCTCGGAGTGAGCTGGAAAGTCATTCACACTGAGAGCATCAATGCTCCGCCGTCGAATTGCGGAAGCTGAACAAGTGCCCGAACAATCAGAGGGGCATTGAACAAGTGAGCGAGCGGAATGAATCAGAACTAGTCCATCCATGCAAAAGTCTTTAATCATGACCACCCCAGGACACCCCAACTTGGCAATCAATACATCCCTCACCGCGCCTTGTTTGCCAATTTGTGGGGCAAGCCCATGCATCAGAGGGACCAAATGAGACCCAATCGAATGGGACCCCTTCACAAATTTGATTTAGAGTTTTCTAAATCACTTAAACCACTCTAAAACACTCTAAATCACGTTTTGAGCTTGCTGGCGAGGCCGCAAAACATTGAAACACATTGTTTTTGGAGAGATTGATAAAATCGATGCATGATGCGAACACGCGCCATTTTGCTCAAGCCAACATTGCGCAATACGAAGCAAAACGCTCCATTTAGGTGGCCATCATTCCCTCCCCCCTTCCCTCCCCCTCCCTCCCTTCTGCAAAAAAAAAGGTGCCTTAGAGTGATTCAGAGCTATTTAGAGTGAGGGGGTCCCATGCCATAACCACGTCAGGGTGAGCGTATTGTAATGGGACCCGCTCAGATTTCCAAGTTTTCTGATTTTTGGTGGTTGGCGGTGCTTATCCTTGAGGCTTGACCCGCCGCTGTGACCCGCCGCATTAAATTTAATCTAGAGGCCACTCTAAAGCACTCTAAAGTAAACGAGTGAGGCCCATATGGCCCCTATCATTGCAGGCGAGGCGGCCAACAGCTTTACTTACCACTGTGTTGATGGCTGGATCCTGACCAGGGGTCGCTTCAACAGGAAAATAATCTTCCAGGACCCCCGAAACGTCCGGTTCCATATTAATTGAGGGTACCTCCCACCTCCCATGAGCCTCCATGTTGGAGAGCTGAGCGAGCAGCTGCTGCTTCTCCTGCAGCTCAGCTCAAAAAATCCTCACCAAACAGGGATCCTTACAGCATACGCCTGAACATTGCCCTTGTAAATGGAGGTGTTCCTTTATTCTGGCGGAAAAAGCCATGTTTCAAATGGGCAAAATGTATCTTTTAAGGAGCCCTGCCAAACCCATCAAGAAAGCTGCCTCGTTTTTGTGTGCCTCAGGCTCCTTGCTTCCCAAGCAAGCATGCCAAACCTTGCTGCTCGTGTTTCATAGTCGGGGATAGCTGCGAAATGCCATATTGGACCACGGCTTGGACAACTACCATGGCGATTCTCGGGCGCCATCGCCCCGCCGCCCCGCCTGCTCCAGGTCATCCTTCAACTGCTGCATCTTGAAATTCAGCTGCTCGACCTGCGCTTTGCTTTGTGAATATCCCCTCCGAATACAGGTGCAACACACGCACAACTACACGATCATAAACCCCCCCGCAGAAAGCTGCTGGCGAACCTCTAGGTGGTCCTGAAATGAACAGAAGGAACTAACATGACTCTGTCCCAAGCACCAAAAATATATAATGCTTTCCGCACGCTGACTTTGCATTCATGAATTGGGTTGGGCAAACGTTTCTCTTCCTTCTGGCTCAAGCACAGAAGGGGGAGGCCTGTTGCATCCTGTTGAGGCCATGAAAATTGAAGGTTTTACTAAACGCTAATTTGGTGTGTGTGTGTGTGTGTGGTGTTGTTTGTCTTTTTTAGAGGGTGCCCGCTTTGAGGTGGTTTTGGGGTGGTCTGAATGAACAGCAAGCTCCGTTGCAAATTGTCATGGTAGTCTACTTTCGTGCTCTCAAAATGCGCAAAAGTACGAGGAGCCTCTTTCTCTTTCTCTGCCAGCTGGCGCTCCTGGCTCAGGAAACACAATCTGCACAAACATGGGTATGGACTTGATATGGGGCCCTTTGGTGGCCATCGGAATCAGCACAAAGTATAGCAAGGTATGGCATAGACATTGGACAAAGCCTGCCAGCCTTGTTCAAAACTGCGACTATGCAGTGCTGGGAAGGCACTTCTTCGAAACACAGATGGCAACTAAACAAAATGTCCGGCAAGCAAGTCACCGACTGAGTGCAAGCCACGGAATGCGCAATAGCTCCCATAAATGCGTCACTGAGGGCCTGCTCAGAGCAGGACTCCGAGATCCGGCCTGAGCAAGTTCTGGAATCACTGCAACCTTACTTACAGGGGCAGGGTACTTGGTACGGTTAGTAAGCCTAGTTCTAACCCACTTAGGAGACTTATAACTTATAACTATGGCAAGTGGGTTATGATCATGGTTGGTACAAACTTCCTCAGTACCTTGAAGTAGGGAAGCCGCCAGCCAAAGTCGTAAACGACGAGCGGTCAATTGGGAGCCCTAAGCCTCAAATGGTTAACTGCACCACTGCTTGCAGGATGCGAAGAATGCCAATGAGCTTCGGATATCAGCTTAGCAAGGCGGAAATCTCACAGATAACAGCTGCAAAGGCGAGGAGCCTCAGCGAGACAACTTTCTGACAATGGCGACTTGGGCTTGGCTCCGCGCTTGTTGTCTTCAAATGCTCCTAGTGTCGCAGCGCAAATCACGATCGAGCGCTGGCCCATCAAGCTCCAAGGGGGGGAACTTGTGGAAATGGTAAGCGGCAATCCCCAACCACGTAGCTACTCTTTGCCAACAAAATTGTGGAAGCCGACAAGGGGGCTGCCTTCCAAAGTCCAACTAAGCACAGATCTGCCAGCCTGGAAGAACCCATCCCGGCATGCATCTTAAGCAAAGCCCTCAGTTTTGGCCAAGGCTTCACCCGTCCTCCACCTGGCTCTGGAGCCGCTGCTGCTCCTGCAAAAGCGCCTCCGACTCCTGGCACTCCCATCCCCGTTGACTCCCTGGCAGAGAAATGGTACTCATCCCAAAGGATGCCCTCAAGAAGTTGACACCCTGTGCAATGAATAAACCAAGAACATTACGAATCCTGAAAAACTAAGGCAGGGCTCGCAAATGATACTTGGTACATCATGCATCATGACAGTTGCGGGCTCGGGTCACGGCACAGCGGGTTGAGTGACCCAGTGTACAAGCTTCGCATTGCCGCGTGCTCACTTTGCTTTGTTCGGATGTGCATGGATTCCATCCATTGGGGATCAGGCTGGTCTCAAGCTGGTTGCGAATCCTTACGAGGGCTCCGGTGGCCGAAGCCGAACAAAAGCCACAAAGCATCCGTGTCTTGTGACCGGGCCCAATGTGTGTTGCCGAGATACTCATATTTTCACAGGGGCTGGCCGACTTGTACAGGAACGCACTTATTTTGCTCCAGCACGTTTGCTCAAACAAGCCTATGCAAGACACGCCACTGGTTATTCTCTTTGAAAAGGCCCTACCTGTGGCCATGCCAACCCTCCACGACTTTGTCTCTTCGTTTTCACCTCGGTCCCACCGGAAGGCATCAGCACAAGGGGCGCAACACAGGATGTGAATGGTTTGCTACTAGACCGGACCTGTGCAGAGGTGCTGATGGAACCTCGTCATCTTCCAAAGCAACTTGTTTTGCTGAATAAGGGCCCTTGCGAACGTCCTGCCCACCAGCTGGTACTGGCCTTCGCTGACAGAAACAAGCAAACAAGCGAGCAAACCAAACCAATCAAGCAAACGAACAAACAAAGAAGCAAAGAAACAAGCAAGCAAGCAAGCAAGCAAGCAAGCAAGCAAGCAAGCAAGCAAGCAAGCAAGCAAGCAAACAAGCAAACAAGCAAACAAAAAGGCAAACCAACAGAAAACAGACCAACGGGCAAGCAAACAAACAAACATACTAGCAAGCAAACAAAAAACAAGCGGACAAACACGCAAAAGCACGCAGAGAAAAACAGACAGGCAGACAGAACAGAACATAACAAAACCAAACCAAACCCAACCCAACGCAACCAATCCGAACCAAAACCGAACCAAAACCGAACAAACGAAACAAACAACGACCTCCCCACGGCCCAAAGGCGACGTCGAAGGCCTGGGAGCTCTGCGCCAGGCGCTGCTGCAGCTGCTGCGCCTCCTCCGCCGCGCCTCGATGACGCGCGCGCGTTTGGCTGGTTGGGTTCCTTTGGTGGGGTCCACCTGGCCAGCTCCAAATGGCTTCTCTGGGCTCGGCTAGCCTGGAGAAGACAAACTAGGGAAGACTTAGGCACCTGAGGCCAAAGGTGTCCTTTTGGAAAAATAGCTTCTGAAATGAAACCCATCTAAAGCCAATCTAAACCAGTTCCTTCTATGTTTAACCAAACTAAACTAACCAAAAAAAGGGACACCTATGCCTGAGACTAGGTAATTACAATTCCCAGGTCCAAGACATTCTTCAAAGTACCAAGACGTCAAATTGCTCTGTTTCCTCAGTCTTGTTTTACTTGGCCCCTGCCCAGCAAAATCACATCTACTCATCTGTGTGGTCACTGCCTCGCATGGCTTTGTAAGGCTCGGCTCGTGGTGCGGTGCTACAGCTGCCGACCCAGCCGAAAGAAACGGCGGGGAATTTTGCCGGGGTAGCGGGCTAGAATTCAAGTCCCGTGAGGAAAGTAACTGGCGCTGCGGCGGGCTGAAGAGCGGCCCGTCCGGCGGAAAGGCTCAAAAACAAGCACGGGCACATTTTCCTGATGTGGTCCACTTAGCAGGTTGAATAGGGCTCAAAATGCATGCAAACATGCCCGTTGCCAAGCCACCCCGACGTTTTTCAGGTTCCAGGGGCATCAACGGCCTTACGCCGCACGCCCACCCCACGCGGTTGGAGTCGAGCGTCTGCCGTGCGCTTCCTCCAGCTCCTTCTGCTTCCTTTCTGCCTCTTCCCGCTGGGCCGCTGCAGAACTGGACAGAGCCTGGCGCGGTGTCTCCCCTTTTCCGCGAAAACCCAAGGCTCAAGGCTTAAACCTTGAGTCCATCTCCACGTCCAAGGGCATGCTTGATGTTTCTGAGGGATTCTAGCACAGGCTCTTAACCAGAAGATCCCTTGCAACATTCATGAGAACAGGCTCTTCTCTGTCAGCTGCACATGTGCAGCTAATGCATCCGATGACGGCCTTCCTGTCGGCCAGAAATGCCGACTGAAATCCGGCCGACAAAACCAGGCAAGAGGGCGAAACGCTGGCACTTGGGACGGACATGCGGGGACCTTCTCATGTGCATCGAAGTGTTTGCGGCAACTGCTCGCCTGTTGGCACTTGAGCCCGCACCGGCCTCGTGCTTCTCCTGCAGCTGCACGTGCTCCGCTTGCAGCGTCTCATGCTGCCCAGCAAGGAGCCGGTGCCTGGGGGGCCAGGCGACCCAGAAAGGAAAGAAACCGAAGGGCCAGGATGACTTCCTACCAATCAACATGGAACCTGACACGGGATCACTTTAAAAGGAACATGGTCTTCCAGGACCCCCCAAAACGTCAGGTTCCATGTTTATGGGTGGGGGGGTACTCTGACGAGTTTCTGTTGCTTAAAAGACCAGCCCAGGCCCTGAGGCCGAGATCGCTGGGCATCCGGCCGCTGGTCCAGTTCCGCATGGGCGCCTCCGAGCCGCTGCCGGTCCTCCTCGAACTCGGAGCTTTTCCCTCGGATGGGCTTTGAGTCACCGCCTTTCCCCCAAGCCTCTTGGAGACCGCGGACCTATGTTGCAAAAACAAGGGCCTGTGCAAAACAATAAAGTGGAAGTACTCAAAGCCTTTTCAATTGGCACAAGCCATCGTTTTCCCTCACGCACCCGTGCAAACACCTCATGCACTGGCATCTTTCACAGCGTCCCCACGAAGTTCTTCCCTGGCCATGGCACCCTTCAAGGGGCCTGCCAAAGTGACCAAGTGACCACGCATCTCCTTGTGCATTCAATTAGGACGGTCACATGGCCAACGTCATGGCCCTAACAAGCCGGAAGCAGCTCGCTCACCCTCACAGGGTCAAGCACAACCCCAATCAACATCCCAAAGCCATGCCTAGACCCACATGGTTCTGCTGCACAGGGGTGGAAACCCCGAGCAGCTGGTCTGAAAACCGCAGATTCCGGCAGACTGCAAACAACGGGCCTAGCACCGCATGGCCATTCTGAGTCTACGATGAACAAGTAGGTTTCAAGCATTTCCTTGCGAAAGGGGACCCCCTAAAGTGGATAGTGTCCGTTTGAGTTTGCTTCTCCTTCAAACCAACCCCACAAGGGGCACCTTAAACAGCACACGCCCATTTAGCAGCTGCGTACTCCCAGCTCCCAGCTTGCAGTCCAGCGGCGCGCCAACTCTTCTTGGGCGTTGGCCGACCTCGCGGAAGAACACGTCCCATTCATCCCCCCACCCCCACTCCAGGCGCCCTTTTGGAAAAAAAATGCACTGGAAACTCGTGGCTATCTTCCTCGGAACGGCGGCAAGGAATCCGCCCACCACATCGCCAGGTCGACAAAGCTCCGCCGCTTCGAGCCCCGGGCTCAGCGCGGAGGTGCTCCTCCGCTGCGGCCGCGGCACACCTTCAAGGGAGTGGACCGATTTGAAGCTTGAACCTCGCTGAGGCATGGGGGTAGCAACCCGAGCGCCGAACACAAATCCACACCCCTGGAAGACAACATGCTTGCACACCAAAAAGCAAGACCTACGCCCGTTGGCTCACAAAGCGTTCGGCCAAGCCCTGCGTTTGAAGCCACTTGCGTGCCCAGTCCCAACGCATGTGCATAGAAATGGCCGTTTGACAGTTTCAAAGCCCTGGCAACATTTCACAACAAATATGCTGGCAGCTGGTGCATCAGGTCAGAACCCTGCCTCGCTGTGCCATGCTCCTCCTTCATCGCTGCCACCTGCAAACATACGACACCCTGACAGGCTCGGAGGCACTGGAAAAAAAGGGCGTGGCTCGACTTGGGAGGAGACATGTCGGGGTGCTACTTCAGACTTCAGATACCCCTTCAACAAGGAGTGTGTTTAGACTGAACTCACCTCCCAGCGCCTTAAGATCTGCCAACTATATACCCTCCCAAAGGCAACTACTTGTTGTGCGGCGGTTTTCATCTACCGTCTGTTGCAGCTCGTTCAACACACATCCTGCAACATTTGTTTGAGGAGATTGTCGCCCCTCCAACCCCGTCTGCAAGCCCAACCCCGCGCGTGGCTGCCTCGGCATCAAACTCCAACTGCAGCGTTCTGCCTGTGGCGAGAGGAGGGTTTTTTGGTGGTCCGCAACAAGAAGCGCACCTCCGATGAACAGTGACATCCAACTGGCCAAACCCCGAAGCCAAGCGGGAGAATCGGCTTCCGACCCCATGCAAGTTGTCAGGCCTGACTGGGCTGTGAGGGAAGATCATTCGGCTCACTCCCAGATTTGTTGGGAACACTCCAAGCCACCTTTCCAAAGATCGGACGCCCGCAGCCAAGTCCCCCATCCCCCTGCATGGTGCCAAACAAAATTTGGAGCACCTCGCCCCCGAGCCGATTTATCAACAGTTCAGAAATCCAACATGCCCCCCTTCTCCCATCGCTACATGAACGTAGCAGGAAGTCTGCATTCAGTAGAAACGGGCTGCTTAACCCTTCAATGAACCAGCTCCATTTGTGGGCTCAACTTGATGTAAAAGCCTGACTGGAGTCAATCGCTCTCCCTTTCAATAAGATTCTCCTTTGCCGAGGCTCATCTCTCTTCTGCCTGGGCGCAGCTGGGGCTGGAGGGAAGTAGCCAGTGTCACGTTGGCAAAGGGACGCCAGGCCAAAGCTCATCGGAGGCTCCAGAGCCAAAACAGCGAATAAAATCACCCCACCTAAATGATGTCCACCAAAGGGCCCCTAATTGCGACTCACACCAATGTCGCATTTCGATGCATTTCGGGGATCGTGAGCCGGCAGATGCGTGCGAGAGGCCTTTCGAAGCGTGTACCACGTTCATTGTTGGGATGTGGCGTGTCGATCTGCAGTGGAGGAGCGTAGCTCGAGATTTTGCAGCGGTTCTTGAAGTTATTGATTGAAATTCGTAGCCAAATCGCGCAAGAAATGACATCCGCCCCCTAACCTAGGCGCCCCATGCTCTCCACCCCCGCCTCCTTCAAGCGCTGCTCCACCTGGGCCTGCTGCGATCGCAGCTGCTCCGCCTCCTTAGCGCATGCGGTCAATTGGCTTTTCCCGGGCTCTCGGATTGAATAGTCGAAATCCAGGTTGGGCGACTCACAAAAAGAACTCTCTTAAACTCTCACGAAAAGAGAGAAACCATGTGCCCTTCCAAACCCCGCTATATGGGAACCAATCATTTGAAGGAGCCGGAGGTGCCTTGCTCGACACGCAGCCAACCAGCTCTCAAGTCTTCACTCCAGCGGCCACAAATGATCGAGCTGCTGCTGGTGGAGTATGGGGGGTACTTAAAGGGGCAGGGTACTTTGTAAGCGGGTATCAACCGTGGTTCTAGCCCACTTCGGAGGCTTACAACAATGAACCATGGTAAGTGGGCTATAAGCAGGGTTGTTACCCACTTGCTGAGTACCCTGCCCCTTGGAGTGCACTCCAAAATTGCAATTCCATTCCCAAGCTTTTCAACTGGTCCTTGATCGAGAAACTAGATCAGGCCCTGTTTTTTTGGGAATTCCCTGCATTCATTCGAGGTACTCCGCTCACAGCTCAACATGGACACCCCACCAAAATTTAGGATCGGAATCTCCTTTAGGTTCCATCCGTTCATTTGTAGGGGGGGTATGTGACAATTGACCACAGCTTCTGGTGAAGCCCGGCAAGGTCCGGCATTACTTCGAACCTAAAGGGGAGTGATTTAAGGGTGCTGCTTTCTAAAAAGAACGCATGCGTGTGAAAAACAACTTGTGCATAGGTGGCGTTTTGGAAAAATCGATGGCCCTGGAATTAAACCCATCCAAACCAGTGACGTCAATTGTTCATTAAACTCACCTTAAAAGGACACCAACCTCTGCCGGTCTAAGGGCCGATGAGCGTCAATGATACATGTTCACCAGGAAATGGATCAGTTCTTCCACCATATTTCCCTTTGGTTGCAAGGACTGCTCTCAAATCTGTGCGTGAGTTCTTGCGCATCTGCAAACCGGGCATCAACTGAGCCGCCACTTTTCAACACTCGCAAAACCTTCCGTGTCTGTAGTTCACCTATCCCAGCTGCTCGATCTGGGTCCCCGCAGCCGCGAGAATTCGCGAGAACGGAATGGAACTGACGTGTGAGACTCCGCGAGGCCGCCCCGGGCAAGGGCTCAGCACTCCCTGGTCTCCAGCCAAGCTTTGGCACAAAACCCGGGGTGAGAGAGGGCCCGGATCTCGTGCTCCATCTCGCACAGAAAATCGCCCGTGCTGGGGTCCACAAGCCTCAAGACCCGGAACTCGTTGTAGCGCACGGCATCCGCCTCGTAGTCGTAGGTCATGGGGAACCGGGGGTTATTCCACAGGACTCCCAGACTTTGGGCTTCGCGGTACGCCTCCACAAAGCCATTGATGTAGATGGCGATGTGGTAGCCATCGTACGGCACGGGCTCACCTGCCGGCACCTCTCGATAGATCAGCCACTGCGCCGCACCTATGGGCACCCAGCACTCCTCTCCCTTGGCGAACTTCCGCACCTCGGCCTTGGAATCGAAGACCTTGCAGTAGAACCTCGCCAAACCTGGGGCCGTGCCCGCAGGGCAGGACAAGCGGATGTAGGGAATCCCCAAACACTCGGAGGGATGAGCGCTCGGAAGGCCGACGCCTTGCTTTTGGGCCTCCTCCGTGTTCATCCAACCCTGTGGGGTGAGCCAGCACTTGCTGCGGATGCCATGAATGAAAAACCTGACACCCGTTGGGCTCGTCACCTGAAAGGCAGCAGGCCCTACATCCTTCACTCCATTGACACCCTCCTGGGTGGGTACCAAGGGGGTGTCGATCGACAGCCGCTTCAGAGTCGACCTTGTAACGGCTACATCTGCATACACCAGCCCCACGACGCCAGGAGGGCTTTGGGAGTCGTGCGGGGCTGGCTCTCCCAGAGGCATGTGCAACTGCTGTAGCCCGGCATTGGCCCAAACGAGCCCATTCATGCTTTTGCCACCTGTCTGCACCATCTTGAGAATATCATCTGCGCGCGGGTCTGGGGCAAAGCCGAGACCTTTCACAAAAAATGCCTCCTGAGCGCTGTTCCACTCCGGAACGTTCACATTCAGGTGCTCCATCGACACTAGCTTGGTGCCCCTGTCGCCAGGAATGTGCAGGTCCGGTAACCTCTTGTCTCGTCCTAAGCATAACTGAGATAATCGTACACCCATGGCTCACGGCCTGATTTTCCTTGAGCCAAGGATTCTCCTGAGAGCCAACGTCCCACTTCAGGGGAGCATGGAATGGAACGATCTTACAGTGGAAAATCAGGGACCGAACAGTCGCCTGGCAAGAAGAAACATCAGCGAAGTAAGATATTGCAACTTGCATGGCCACCTTGCGGCCTTGCAGGAGAAAAAGCGGCCAAAGCCACTGCCACACACTGCCAGTCACAGAGTTGGGTGCCCGCGCCGCCCCAGCACTCGCCGCATGTTCAGTGAAGCCTGGATGCAAGAAAGTGGTAGCCCGTCTTCGGATCACACAAATCAAAGCTTCCTGCCAGCTTGCAGGATAAATCCTCACAACACATGGGCATTTGTGAAACTGCAAGCTGCCAGGGTATCGTTCAAAAATGATCAAACGGAAATCACATAGCCTAAACGTTCACTCTGTGCATCAATGCATGCTTAATGTCTTACAGCAACACCAGCAGCCCTGCGGTGAACTCCCTTGCTGATTTTTTTGGAAGCTTTTCCGCATGGAATAAGCTCATACTGGAAGTGCTCAATCTAGATTCACAAAGCCATAATCAAAACTCCTTTCGTGGGCCCTGGTTTTCGGTTCCCTTAGCTTGCTAGGGTTCATGACGAGCCTTACCACACCCAAATAAAGGGACGTATGTTGATCACACGAAGCCCAAGCGGAGCCCTTTAAGAAAAGCCCAGGCACTCTTCTGCGCTGCGTCGAGCTCCTGTGGGCAGGGCCGAATCAAGGGAATTGTAGCTGCATGCAACTTTCGATGAAACCAAACCCAGCCCAACTACCGTCGCCGCATGTGCAAAGCAAACGGACCCGCGGTAAACTGTTCACTCGCAGGCTTGCGGGTCGTCAAACTTTAGTCGGCAAGTGGGGTCGCTGCTCCTTGTCCCTGTTGTCAACGGCCGAAGACCTCAAATGCAGTGCTCAACGCCGCGCTTTCCGAACCTCAACACTACACCTCCTGGCTGAAGGGCGGCATGCGCTGGGTGCTGAGAGATTTGGCACGAGCTTGACCTATGCATCCTATGACCTCCTACCCTCGCATGTTGGAGAGGTGGCCTTTGCACACGTGTCCTGTGTTGAGCTTGTTTGGAAACCTCAACTCTTCGCTTTTGCTGGCAGGCAGCTTTCGGCCACCCAAGCAGCAAAGGTGAAAAGAATCTGCGCACGGTGTGGCCAAAGCATGCGAAACGCAAAGCCACTGTTTTCTCTATGCAAATGTGTATCTTCCCTCTCTCCCTCTCTCCCTCTCTCCCTCTCTCCCTCTCTCCCTCTCTCCCTCTCTCCCTCTCTCCCTCTCTCCCTCTCTCCCTCTCTCCCTCTCTCCCTCTCTCCCTCTCTCCCTCGCTCTCTCTCTCTCTCTCTCTCTCTCTCTCTCTATCTCGCTTTTGTGTTTCCTTCTCTTTCTTGCTCTCTCTCTCTCTCTCTCTCGCTCCCTCTATCTCTCTCCCTTTCTCTCTCTCTCTCTCTCTCTCTCGCTCTCTCTCTCTCTCTCTCTCTCGCTCTCTGTGTCTCTATCTCTCTCTCTCTCTCTCTCCCCCTCTATCTCTCTCCCTCTCTCTCTCTCTCTCTCTCTCTCTCGATCCCTCTATCTCTCTAGCTCCCTCTCCCACTCTCTCTCTCTCCCCTCTATCTCTCTCTCTCTCTCTCTCTCTCTCTCTCTCTCTCTCTCTCTCTCTCTCTCTCTCTCTCTCGCTCTCTCTCTCTCTCTCTCTCTCTCTCTCTCTCTCTCTCTCTCTATCTCTCTCTCTCTCTCTCTCTCTCTCTCTCTCTCTCTCTCTCTCTCTCTCTCTCTCTCTCTCTCTCTCTCTCTCTCTCTCTCTCTCTCTCTCTCTCTCTCTCTCTCTCTCTCTCTCTCTCTCTCTCTCTCTCTCTCTCTCTCTCTCTCTCTCTCTCTCTCGCTCTCGCGCCCTCAGCAGCAATCAGCACCCCCGCTCAAACAAATACAAGTACTGCAAGTTGGTGCGACGGCAAGAGCAAAACACACACACACTAACAAATAACCACCGACCCACAATCAGCTGATCAGGCCCCGGCAAGTTTGCGCATTTTTCCTGCAGGTCTTCACACCTGTCCATGGTTGCCGTGCAAACGAACGAAGAATGATGGGATCTGCCTGAGGAACCGCAGAATCCAAAAACATGCGCAATACACCTGTGGCATGGTGACATAGGATCTTGCAAGCTTGCGTGATAACGGCAGGAATGAGCGAGGGAACGGTCACTCACTCTTCATCGTGTGTGCTCACCCATTGGCAGCTTACCGCGAGCAAAGGCAGCGGGGAAATGGGTGAGTGATGAACGGAGAGTGACCGTTCCCTCGTCATTCCTGCCATCATCACGCTCTGCATGAGACACGTGCAGTGCGCACAAAAATCGCAGAGATATATTCTCAGGGGGGTTCTCAAGATAGTCCCCTAAGATGGCGAGTTTCTTCTTGAAACCCCAAAAAGAGGGAGGCCTACCATTTCCCTCGAAACTCCCAGAGAGCCCATGTGCTACGCAGTCGCGCGAGGGTACCTCACCGAAAGACCGATGAACTGCTCCTTCTTCGCCATGCGAAAGCATGGTCGGGAATTCGAGCCCTTAAGGCTGGCTTGCTTGTTGTCAGCCTCAACAAGGACATTTCCTCCAAAGGCTCTCAGTTTCATCCTTCAAAAAAAGCAAGCCTTTCCCAAGCTTGGCTTCCTTGTCAGCCAAGGTCGCTACTCTTCAAATCACGCTTCCCACGTATAGCCCGTGTCGAAAGACCAGCCCCCCCCCCCCCCCGCCTTCTGTGCAGGTCTGCCTTCTCAGCCTCTAGCTGCTCCTCCGATGTCTGGAAAGCCGCCACCTTTCCTTGGGTTCCAGTCAGCTCCGCGCCGCGCCCCCAACACGTGCCGTCCTTTTGGACTTTGGGAGAAACCAGGTTGGGGGTCCCATCAAAAAAACATGCGCCTTCCGTCGCTGGGTCTGAATCTTGACGTGTGTGGGAAAAATGTCAATGTGGAAGGCCATCGCCAAACGGACATCCGAGCATCTCGTGAGCTCCTCGTGGCTTGCCTCCAACTGCTCCGCCGCGCTGCTGACCTCCGAGGACCTCAGCAGGGCACCATGGGGCGCCTGCCCAAGGCCTGCAGGCAACCGGGGGAAAACCGCAGAAATGTTCTCTGGCCTACGCTTTGCCTACCAGATGTTTGCATCTTGGTTTCAGAGGGCCATAGCTAAGAATGGATAGAAGTGTGTCTGATCCCGTCTCATTCGCCAAGCTGAATAGGTGCTGGGAAGACTAAAACGTGCAACATAACATGCGTAGAGGTCCCCCGCGTCATGTTGCTGAAAGACTAAGCACCCTAGCAGCCCACTTGACCGACAGCCTCTCGTGCCCCAAATGCGTGGCAATAAACCTGCCGAACGATGAGCCATGTTGGCATCTTGTATCTTAGCTGCCCCGCAGTCGCTCACAGTCCTTCTGCAGCTGCTCGCACCTGAGTTGCAGCAACTATCCATGGGCTGCGCGTTTAACAAAGCTTCAGATTTGCAGTGCTACTCCGTGAGCAGGGGTTGCCCCTTGCCGAATAAATTACACAGCTCAGGCGCGAATAGTGCGAAAAGTCTCACGCGATTCACAAACGGTGCGGTGTGCGCGCGTGCGCGTGCATGTCCGCAATGCAGCTGCGGGTAAGAGTGCCGGCGCAGGCAGGGGCTGGCACGTGCAAGGGTAGGTGTGTAAGTGTGTAGGTGTGCAAGTGTGTACGTGTGTGTGTGTGTGCGCGCGCGTGCTCCAGCATGTGAGGCCGCGGCAAAACCTAAATTGAAATGGGCTGCACATGTGTTTTCTTATCGGTTTTGCGTCAAAGTTTATCGTTTTACACATTAGATGCATGTTCAACCTTATCGTTTTTTGCACCTTATCGTTTTACCGGGGTTCGCGCAGTTTTGGACAACTGCGCGCATCAGCTCTCATGGTGGCTTCAAAGGCTTTCTTCGTCGGACTGACGAGCAGCAAGCTCCTTCCATGCTTTTTGTTCAACTGCAATAATGTGTTCCAACGTAGAGTCCAAGACATGTTCCAACGTAAAAGACAAGTATGCTGTCCATGGCCGGGAGACATCAAAGGGAAAGCTAGGGTAGAGTGGCTAAGTTCCTCTCAATGGGCAACTCCTCACGGGCATGGGTTCTGTCAAAAAGCGTTATCGTTTTGCTATCGTTTTGTTATCGTTTTCAGCGTCGTGACTCAGAAGCCTCTCCCGGGTCTCAATGCTCCAAGCCATGGTTGTGAACAGGAAGGACGGAAAGGGAGCAAACAAGATTGAGCAAAATGCTAGCAATACGTGCATTACATGCTCCAAACCTTATCGTTTTCCAGCACAAACAACAGGGAAACACCCAAAAACCTTATCGTTTTTTTTTTGCACCTTATCGTTTCGTTTTACCGGGCTTCGTGATTGTCCAACACAATGTGCGCGACTCTTACATCCAGCAAGCACGAGAGTATTGCCAGTACCTCATGTGCAAACCCAAGCAAAGGCGAAAGTGCATTTTCTCAGGAGACCACCTCAAAGCTGTGCATGCAAGAAGGCCGACAATGATCGGACAAGCGCGCTGGGCGGCCCCGGCTGCAGCGACAGCTTGTCATACGCCTCCCGAGCACTTTGCCTCAGGGTCGGAGTCCTTTAGCCCTTCGCCGTGCTTCACAAGGGAGTTGACTTTTGGTAGTTGGCGGTGCCCGCAAATTGGGTGGATTCCCATTCCAAACTGTTAGCATTTGTACGAATAAGCCGAAATCAAGCTGGCAGCATGGCCATTGGACCACGAACTACTGTCACCTGAGAAACCCTGGAATAATGATTCCCCTGCAAATACCAACCAACAATGGTTTTTCCATGGTCTCCTAGGTGGTGCAGGATTTCGCCCATCCACCGTACGTCCACCATTCCAAGCATTCTTCGTATCAGTTGAGGGTGCTTCCCTTCAAAATTTATCCATGGTCGGCTGACCACGTGGTCGATGGGCCGCCCCACTCTTCAGTCCGCAGTTGAAGGTCGAGGGCGGCCACCTGCAAACGCGCCAGCCGGCGCCGGCCCCATGAACCCTTATCCGATGGGACTCCTTCATGACCTAGCTCGCAGGCATCTCCAAGTGGATGTGCTGGCACCACTCCAACTTGTGCGGAAGCTTGTCGCTAGCTGTATTCTGAATTATCTGCATGCTGTTTGACAAGGTAAAAACCGCCAACACCACACAACAAGCCACACAAACTGATATCCAAGGCTTCAAAAGTCGCCCAAAGTCAAAAAAAACTACGAACAGCCGTAGAAAGTGGCACGACCTGACATTACCCAGCGCCGGCTGTGCCCAAGCACCCCAAGCGAAGACGAGCCAAAAGCAGCTTATGAAAAACAAACTCGCTGAGTAATGTTGCCTAAGTCGCCAAGGACAAAATGCGTGGCTCCAAGCTCAAGCTTCCGTTGCTCAAGGATCAAGATGCCTTGGTCGATTTACAAGCCTTGCAAAAGTTCACCAGGCCCGCACTCATGCGTCTTCATCATCCTTCTGAGATTCTGCCTCAATGACAGCAAGCTAAGCCTTGATTGGACCATAGTTGCTCGGTGTAGTTTCTCAGGTAGCACCAGTTGCCGATGCGTTTTGAGCCTTCCTCTGAAGAAAACCCCCATCTCCCATCCCCCCAAAGTCTCAACGCCTGAGCTTCCAGATCGCGGATCTGCCCGCCTTAGGTCGCTGGGTTGAGCAAGTTGTGCATATTCAAGGCTCAAGTCAGCAGGTAAAACTGCACGGTTTTCAGAAATTCGGACAAGTAGCTCTTTGTTTCTGCATCCGCTTGAGATGACGCCTTGGCCTGCTCCACCTGAGAGGCATGCAGAGAGTGAGCCTGGGCACTAAAAGCTTTGACAATACCACGCGCAATTGCCTCCGAATGCCTGTGGCAGAGTGCACGTGAATATCCTGGCTGCATTAGTCTCCGCTGATCTCTTTTGGCTCGCGAAGCAATGTCTCCCCTTTGCCTTTGCATGCAACTAGGCAATTGGCTCACAAACGTGACTCGCTGTTCTATGTCCCACATAAAAGCTGCCATGTCCGTTCTGGCTGTGAACATGCGCATCCTCAAGTCGAGTTTCATGTGCAACACAAATCAATTGCGAAGGCTTCAACTTCAAGGCCACCCCTGGCCTGCGTAAAGCGCGTAAAGCAATCAGGAACGGGTTACCGGGTTTGGTCAAAGAAGCAGTCCTCGTCCAAAGTGTGATGTGCACTCAATCCCTGGACACGTGCCTTTTCTTTGACCAGCTGCGCGGCATGCAGCAAATCACAAAACCCATGCAAGCCTCATGCAACCCAAAACAGGGTGACCACTGAAAGTCTGTTCCGTTGCTCCCTTTCAGTTTCCCTAAAACCCTGAAGTGGTTTCCGAGCCTCCAAAAACCCAACAAAATCTGTTTTGGAGCCTCCCTTGGCTTTCGGGCCTCCCTATGCAAGCCCCCTGGATCCCAAAAACATGATCCACATGATCCAGGCCCCAAAGCCTTAAGCCCAAAAGCCAGCCTGGCTCAGCTGCTGCTGAAGCGCATCTCTCTCCTTGGCCAAAATTCAGCGCACTGCGGAAGTGACACAAAAAAACCAATAAGCAGGCTGGCGGCCGGAGTGCCTCAAGGCTGCCTCTGCCAAACCAGAACCAAAAAGAAACGTGGGGCCTGGGCAGACACATCTGCTTTACGATCCACCTACAGCTCCAGCAAGGCAAGCCAGTTGCCTAGTGAGCCTCCAAATCTCTTGTGCTTCATCGCCGACTGATGACACCCACGAAACCCATGGGGGTCTCGCTCCATCCCACGAATCCCCGTCGTCCGAGGCGCTGCGGCACTCCGCTCTGCAGCACCTGAAGCCGCCCCACCCAGGCTGACTCAGTCCCCGAGCACCGCTAGCAGCAGGGGAACAAACCGCGTAGCGCTGGGCTGGAGCAGAGACGTGTCCAAACGGTTTAGGCGTTCGAAGGTACATTGTACAATCGAAGAAAGGGTCAGTGATAATCAACCAACATTGTGCCTAAGGTCTTTGTTGAGCAGTGAGAGTCAGCGTCCCTTAAACCCCCAAACTGGAGGACGATTGGCCCGAAAGCATTTTTCCCCAGGTGCTCATCCAGCCGCGGAGACACCTTTTTACATCGCTGCGGCGGGCGTGTCTGCACGTCGGCGATGCTCAATGTGTATGGTCACATGAGAGCTCCATCTCATCATCCTAGTTTCCTCTCGAACTGCGCCGCGCGATTTCTCACGAAAGTGGTCTGCGCAAGCTGCATTGTTCCAGGCTGCTGCGCGCAAGTTGCTCTCTGCAAGCTGCTGCACGCTGCTGCAAGTGCTCTGTGCAAGTTGCTCTGCGCAAGTGCTCTGAGCAAGTTGCTCTGCGCAAGTGCTCTGCGCCAGTTGCTCCGCGCAAGCGCTTTGCGCATGTGCTCTGTGCAAGTTGGTCTGTGCAAGTTGCTCTGCGCCAGTTGCTCCGTGCAAGCGCTTTGCGCATGTGCTCTGTGCAGGTTGCTCTGCGCAAGTGCTCTGAGAGCAGTTGCTCTGCGCAAGCGCTCTGCGCCAGTTGCTCCGTGCAAGCGCTTTGCGCATGTGCTCTGTGCAAGTTGGTCTGTGCAAGTTGCTCTGCCCAAGTGCTTTGTGCAACTGCTCTGTGCAATTCGCAGGGCGCAAGTTGCTCTGTGCAAGCGACTCTGCGCAAGTGCTGCCGGAGGTGTGGGAATGTACTTCGCGTACTATTTTTGCACTTAAAAGTTGCGATTTTCCAGCCGGAGCTGCGGGAGCACGCTCCGCATTCTACGTCTGTACTTAAAAGTTGCGATTTTCCAACCGGAGCTGCGGCTGCGGGAGCACGCTCCGCATACTACGTTTGTACTTAAAAGTTGCGATTTTCCAGCCGGAGCTGCAGGAGCACGCTCCGCGTACTACGTTTGTACTTAAAAGCTGCGATTTTCAAGCCGGAGCTGCTGCGGACCAGGGGGGAATCGAACCCGCGACCGCGGGATTGCGAAAGCAGGCGCGCAAACCACGAGAGAACTTCCAAAGGCCGTCTCGCGAGCAAGAAAATTGCACGGCGCCACAGCGAGAGCGCTTCGACACGCACGATCCCCGCAGAGGGTCGCGCGCGGCTCGCAGAAATCGTAAAAATTCTTCAGTTTTTGAACCTCGACCACGCGAATCTCCGCAGAGGGTCGCGCGCGGCTTGCAGAAATCGTAAAAGTCCTCACTTTTTGAACCTCGACCACGCGAATCTCCGCAGAGGGTCGCGCGCGGCTTGCAGAAATCGTAAAAAGTCATCAGTTTCTGAACATCGACCACGCGAATCTCCGCAGAGGGTCGCGCGCGCACCGCAGAAATCGTAAAAAGTCCTCAGTTTTTTAACCTCGACCACGCGAATCTCCGCAGAGGGTCGCGCGCGCATGCTAAAAATCGTAAAAAGTCATCAGTTTTTTAACATCGACCACGCGGATCTCCGCAGAGGGTCGCGCGCGGCTTGCAGAAATCGTAAAAAGTCCTCAGTTTTTGAACATCGACCAGGCGAATCTCCGCAGAGGGTCGCGCACGCACCGCAGAAATCGTAAAAAGTCCTCAGTTTTTTAACCTCGACCACGCGAATCTCCGCAGAGGGTCGCGCGCGCATGCTAAAAATCGAAAAAAGTCATCAGTTTTTTAACATCGACCACGCGGATCTCCGCAGAGGGTCGCAATGCCGAGCGATGATCAAACTCCCGCCCCGGCGCCTTAGAAACCTAAACTAACTTACATAGCTGCTTACGCCGAAGCTCTACGCAAGCTCTACCTAACCTTGGCTCTGTGCCACCTGGCTCTGTGTCACTTGGCTTTGTGCCACTTGGCTCTATGTAACTTGGCTCTATGTAACTTGGCTCTATGTAACTTGGCTCTATGTAACTTGGCTCTATGTAACTTGGCTCTATGTAACTTGGCTCTATGTAACTTGGCTCTATGTAACTTGGCTCTATGTAACTTGGCTCTATGTAACTTGGCTCTATGTAACTTGGCTCTATGTAACTTGGCTCTATGTAACTTGGCTCTATGTAACTTGGCTCTATGTAACTTGGCTCTATGTAACTTGGCTCTATGTAACTTGGCTCTATGTAACTTGGCTCTATGTAACTTGGCTCTATGTAACTTGGCTCTATGTAACTTGGCTCTATGTAACTTGGCTCTATGTAACTTGGCTCTATGTAACTTGGCTCTATGTAACTTGGCTCTATGTAACTTGGCTCTATGTAACTTGGCTCTATGTAACTTGGCTCTATGTAACTTGGCTCTATGTAACTTGGCTCTGTAACTTGGCTCTATGTAACTTGGCTCTATGTAACTTGGCTCTATGTAACTTGGCTCTATGTAACTTGGCTCTATGTAACTTGGCTCTATGTAACTTGGCTCTATAACTTGGCTAACTTGGCTCTATGTAACTTGGCTCTATGTAACTTGGCTCTATGTAACTTGGCTCTATGTAACTTGGCTCTATGTAACTTGGCTCTATGTAACTTGGCTCTATGTAACTTGGCTCTATGTAACTTGGCTCTATGTAACTTGGCTCTATGTAACTTGGCTCTATGTAACTTGGCTCTATGTAACTTGGCTCTATGTAACTTGGCTCTATGTAACTTGGCTCTATGTAACTTGGCTCTATAACTTGGCTCTATGTAACTTGGCTCTATGTAACTTGGCTCTATGTAACTTGGCTCTATGTAACTTGTCCAAGGGCTCCGCACGGAAGAATCCTTCGCGATGCTTTCGGGAAAAATCCTGAATGGGTTCTCAGGTCGCCCCTTGGCGTCCATTGGCCAAGGCCACGGTTGAATTGATCAAAGTCTCGCCAAGCGTGCAAGTCAGCGCTCATGTGAACGACGTTTCAACCATACCCTCTCGCCCACTAACATGGCAACTCACAGGGGGTCCACCAAACTGGTCTTCCAGGTGCCCTCCCACAGGTGTCATGGCGACGTGGGAGGAGGGGTCTGGCTCTGGAAATGGCTCGTGGCCATCACGCCCGTTTTCGCCCCGCTGCTTCCTTCCGAGTCGCCTCGCTGCGCCTCCTCCATGTCCCTCCGCTGGCGCAGCTCCTCCTGCTGCATCTCGGCCGCGCGCTCCGCCTGCTCCTGGCGAGCACCCCGGAAGCTCTGGCCGACTCGCTTTGGGCAAAACCCCGCGAACACGGATTTTCCTGCCGAGCCAAGGGTGGTTTACCTCATTTTCAGAGACAACCTCCAGGAAATCCGGGTGGCTCAAAATCGGGGACCCCCAAATTCTTCGGCTGGCTCTCCTTTTTGTCCCCCTCTAAAGCCAAAAAAACATCAGGGCACCCCCCACCAAAAAAAAAAGCCGCCCATACCTCGGCTTCTCCTCGCCTCCAGCTTGGAGCCCAGCTGGCGCCGCTCCTCCCGCAGCTCGTCGCAGCTCCGCTCCAGCTCCAGGCGCCTCGAGGCTCCAAGAGAAGATGCCCATACTGCGGGTGGACGAACTCCTGCACCAATTGAAACCATGGGAAACAAGTTTGATTGGTATTTACTGAGGAATCACCATTCTAGCGTTTCTTAGGTGGTGCAGGATTTCGTCCACCCACAGTAGGGGGAGAGCATCCCCCTTTTTCCCGAAGAGGCGCCCCTGGCGCCTGTGATTTTTAGCTGCCAGTCTTGCGAAAACACCGCGAAAACCGGGTTTGTCTGCATGTGCACTGGCTGGCGCCTAGGCAAAATGCACATGTTGTCTTGTCGCATCAAACACCACCAGGGTTTTCTGTGGCTTTAAAAGGGAAAGCAAAAGAAAACCCGAACCATTTTGGGGGGAACCCCTCAAAATGACACACCCAAACATAATATAAATTCAAACCGTGAGCAGGGATGTGGTTGAAATTTGACCGCTTCTGCTCAACAAAAGGTGCCCCAGACTAAGAGCCGGAAGTTCCCCCAGTTGGCCTCCGTAAATGGAACCAAGTCTTTCATTTCGGGCTCCATTCGGGACCTTCCGTGGAATCGCCTGGGAGGCTAGCAATCCATTTCCTCCAGGGTGGGATCACTCTGGGTTCATCCCAAAGGGCATCTCCCCCTTCAACAAGGGGGTTTGTCAAACCAGGGGTTAGCCCTTTTTCTTGTAGCCTGGCAAAAAGAAGCTGCCAGAAGCGAGCAACAGTTGCTACATGATCTTCGCAGGCCGCTGGCCTGCTGCGCGAGACAATTGCGCGCTTTCCAGCCCTCTGAACGGCACAAAGGACAGGATCCGACAAAAGGCAAGTCACCAGGACTTGGAACAAAACACCCCAAGCACGGCAGTGGCAATTGCTTAACAGCCTGTTACCCAACAGCGCGAGCCCTGCGGTCCCCCTGAAGGAACTCAAGAAAATCAACCCGACACTCTGGAACAAGCACCGGCCAGGCCTCAATCCTACGCCAATCACTGGCTGGACCTCCGGGATCTACCAACATGTCAAGTTCCGTTGTAAACACCCTGGAGAGAATGCAATCCAAAAAGTTCTTGCTGGTTCTCGGCAGGGAATGAGGGAATGACCCCTGCAAAACATCCCTTGCGGTTTCCTTTAAGGGAAGCCCCAGCTTCACTTCCAACACTCGAAATCATCCCCTGAGCGCCAGCAAAAGTTAAAACTGTGTCCACCAAGCCCCGGCGCCTCTTCTCCAGCAGGGATCTCTCCTCACCTGCTTTTCCCAGCTCGCTTTCCAGCTCCGCCTGCGTACCTTACCCGCAAGGTACGGGCAGGGGCCCGTCACCAGTGCCCAAGAGCATGGCATGACCTTTTGAGGAATGTCTGCCCTGCCCAGGCGAGCTGCCTCTCGGCGCCCTTACAAATCGCGCGCATACAAACGCTCATTCAAAGGGACGTGTCTTCTGGACATTTGCCCTTGCCACCAATCAATCAATGAACAACTTTGGCATCATGCTGTGCTGGAATTAGGGCGCCTGCGGGTTGGAATCATGCCCTTGCCACCACTGAAAATGAATTAGTAGCGCCTGTGGGGTGGAATGCACTTGGAGGTATCCCTGTTTTTGACACACTGTCCCAGGTGTCAAGGTGAGCGGCGTGACAGCTCCTGGCTGCTCGCTTCGAGCTTCCGTGACGTATCCTTGAGGTCTGAGGACCTAGGTAGCGTTGGGGGCACCTGCTTTTCTGTTGCGGCGTTCAGAACCTGGCGCGCATGTCCTCTGCCGTTTTTCTTGCAAGAATGATTAACAACCAACTTGCCGATGCAACTGAAACGAAGCCAGCGACGCTGACGCGCTGTGTCAGAGCAATCCCGTGAAGGAATAATTTCCCCGCATGGAACTCAAAAGCAATTCACGCAACGCCCACGAGATGCTTCCGCTCAGGACCTTGCAGCCTGCCACACTCCTCCTGCAGCTCGCTGCACCTGCAACCAAAGGCAAAGCCCCGCCAAGCGCCAGCCAGCCAGTCAGTCAGTGAGTCCAGTCAGTCCAGTCCAGTCAAACAGTCAGTGAGTGAGTCTGCCTAGTCTAGCCTAGTAGTCAGCAAGTAGTCAGTCAGTCAGTCAGTCAGTCAGTCAGTCAGTCAGTCAGTCAGTCAGTCAGTCAGTCAGCCAGCCAGCCAGCCAGCCAGCCCAGCTAGCCAGCCAACCAGCCAGCCAGCCAGGCAGACACGCAGGCAGGCAGCCAGCCAGCCAGCCCGTCAGTCAGTCTGATCTTCTATGCTCGGCCCAATGCTCAACAGCCCCTCCCGGCCTCCGTTCCAAGTCGGCCTTTTCCCCAGCCGCCTTCTGCCCCTCCTGCTCAAAGTCTGCCGTTCTTCCTCAGTGCTCATGCGGATGTCCGGTGAGTGTTAAATGTGTGTGCGCTGTTGTTTGGCATTTGTAGAAACAACGTAGAAACAACTACGCAGGCCTGCTGATACAACAGAACACAAAGGATGTCAAGCAACGTGGTGGGGGGGGGGGGTGAGGCATTTCAATTACCACCATGCGTGCAGAACCGCATTGAGGAATCCAAAGGGGCTCGCTGGAAATCAGAAAAGGCCGGACATCTAAGAGTGACAGCCTTCCCGAATGTGATGAGGAAAAAAACCAAAAAATGACTCCACCAAGGCGGGCAAGTATCGTGACAGCTCCTGGTTGCTTGCGTCAAGCTTCTGCGACCTCGGGCTGCTCCACAAACAGTGAGAAGCGCACAAAGATCACGCAGCAGGCATGCACCAACAATAGTTGAAAGCCAGAACGTGAACCGGAGCATCATCTCCAACAACATCAGCACTAAATGACCCTGAAGGAAGCAGCCTCACGCTTCAGCCAGTCAGCGCCCCTCGTGCTCCATTGGCTCAGGATCTCGCAGGTTGCCGCACTCTTGCTGAAGCTCGCTACACCTGCAACCCGGGGCCAAGCACGCTGCAGCCGTTAAAACTCAGACGGCTAGATGCACACGAGCGCGTCTGTTCACAAAGTCAGCTGTAGTCTGCCTAGCTGTGCTCCTTTGCAGTGACAAAATGTATCCCATGTTTGGTACGGGTGTACCCCTCCCTCCGGCCTTCGCTCCAAGTCGGACTTTTCCCCGGCCGCCTTCTGCCCCTCCTGCTCAAAGTCTGCCGTTCTTCCTCAGCTGTCTCAAGTTCAGTCATAGACAAGCATGAATGCTTTAGAACAATTGGGTTGGACGCTACCGTTACACAATGCACATGGTTGCACTGAGTTCCTCATTCACCCGCAAAAACGAGACGTTGACCAAGAGAGGGCCCACTGAATGTAAGCCATGGGAAGCACGACAGCGTTTCAAAGGCCACAGAAACAATTCCTCGAAAACAATGGTGTCCTCACATTCCGTGCCTGCCTCCCCAAATACTGCGGGCAAATACTATTACATGCCAAAAAATGACTCCACCAAGGCGGGCAAGTATCGTGACAGCTCCTGATTCCTTGCTTCAAGCTTCTGCGACCTCGTGGTGCTCCACAAACAGTGAGAAGCGCACAAAGATCACGCAGCAGGCATGCACCAACAATAATTGAAAGCCAAAACGTGAACCGGGGCATCATCTCCAACAACATCAGCACTAAATGACCCCGAAGGAAGCAGCCTCACGCTTCAGCCAGTCAGCGCCCCTCATGATCCATTGGCTCAGGATCTCGCAGGTTGCCGCACTCCTGCTGAAGCTCGCTACACCTGCAACCCAGGGCCAAGCACGCTGCAGCCGTTAAAACTCAGACAGCTAGATGCACACGAGCGCGTCTGTTCACAAAGTCAGCTGTAGTCTGCCTAGCTGTGCTCCTTTGCAGTGACAAAATGTATCCCATGTTTGGTAGGGGTGTACCCCTCCCTCCGGCCTTCGCTCCAAGTCGGACTTTTCCCCGGCCGCCTTCTGCCCCTCCTGCTCAAAGTCTGCCGTTCTTCCTCAGCTGTCTCAATGTAGCCATAGGCAAGCATAATGCAGCATAAGTTTTCAAGAACAAATGGGTTAGACGCTACCGTTACACAATGCACATGGTTGCACTGAGTTCCTCATTCACCCGCAAAAACGAGACGTTGACCAAGAGAGGGCCCACTGAATGTAAGCCATGGGAAGCACGACAGCGTTTCAAAGGCCACAGAAACAATTCCTCGAAAACAATGGTGTCCTCACATTCCGTGCCTGCCACCCCAAATACCGTGGGCAAATACTATTAAAAACCCAAAATGACTCCACCAAGGCGGGCAAGTATCGTGACAGCTCCTGGTTGCTTGCTTCAAGCTTCTGCGACCTCGGGGTGCTCCACAAACAGTGAAAAGCGCACAAATATCACGCAGCAGGCATGCACCAACAATAGTTGAAAGCCAGAACGTGAACCGGGCCATCATCTCCAACAACATCAGCACTAAATGACCCTGAAGGAAGCAGCCTCACGCTTCAGCCAGTCAGCGCCCCTCATGATCCATTGGCTCAGGATCTCGCAGGTTGCCGCACTCCTGCTGAAGCTCGCTACACCTGCAACCCAGGGCCAAGCACGCTGCAGCCGTTAAAACTCAGACGGCTAGATGCACACGAGCGCGTCTGTTCACAAAGTCAGCTGTATTCTGCCAAGCTGTGCTCCTTTGCAGTGACAAAATGTATCCCATGTTTGGTACGGGTGTACCCCTCCCTCCGGCCTTCGCTCCAAGTCGGACTTTTCCCCGGCCGCCTTCTGCCCCTCCTGCTCAAAGTCTGCCGTTCTTCCTCAGCTGTCTCAAATGTAGTCATAGGCAAGCATAACTGTTCAAAAACATATGGGTCAGACGCTACCGTTACACAACGCACATGGTTGGACTAAGTTCCTCACTCCCCCGCAAAAACGAGACACGTTGACCAAGCCAGGGTGCACTGAATGTAAGCCATGCGAAGCACGACAGCGTTTTAAAGGCGACAGCAACAATTCCTCGAAAACAATGGTGTCCTCACATTCCGTGCCTGCCACCCCAAATACCGTGGGCAAATACTATTAAAAACCAAAAATGACTCCACCAAGGCGGGCAAGTATCGTGACAGCTCCTGGTTGCTTGCTTCAAGCTTCTGCGACCTCGGGGTGCTCCACAAACAGTGAGAAGCGCACAAATATCACGCAGCAGGCATGCACCAACAATAGTTGCAAAATGCTGCAAGCCAGAACGTGAACCGGGCCATCATCTGCAACAACATCAGCACTAGATGACCCTGCAGGAAGCAGCCTCACGCTTCAGCCAGTCAGCGCCCCTCATGCTCCATGGGCTCAGGATCTCGCAGGTTGCCGCACTCTTGCTGAAGCTCGCTACACCTGCAACCCAGGGCCAAGCACGCTGCAGCCGTTAAAACTCAGACGGCTAGATGCACACGAGCGCGTCTGTTTACAAAGTCAGCTGTATTCTGCCAAGCTGTGCTCCTTTGCAGTGATAGAATGTATCCCCTGTTTGGTACGGGTGTACCCCTCCCTCCGGCCTTCGCTCCAAGTCGGACTTCTCCCCGGCCGCCTTCTGCCCCTCCTGCTCAAAGTCTGCCATTCTTCCTCAGCTGTCTGAAATGTAGCCATAGGCAAGCATCATGCAGCATAAGTTTTCAAGAACAAATGGGTTGGTTAGACGCTACCGTTACACAATGCACATGGTTGCACTGAGCACCCGCAAAAACGAGACACGTTGACCAAGACAGGGCCCACTGAATGTAAGCCATGGGAAGCACGACAGCGTTTCAAAGGCCACAGCAACAATTCCTCGAAAACAATGGTGTCCTCACATTCCGTGTCTGCCTCCCCAAATACCGTGGGCAAATACTATTAAATGCTAAAAAATGACTCCACCAAATTCCACCAAGGCAGGCAAGTATCGTGACAGCTCCTGGTTGCTTGCTTCAAGCTTCTGCGACCTCGGGGTGCTCCACAAACAGTGAGAAGCGCACAAATATCACGCAGCAGGCATGCACCAACAATAGTTGCAAGATGCTGCAAGCCAGAACGTGAACCGGGCCATCATCTCCAACAACATCAGCACTAAACAGCCTGGTTCGGATCAGGGTTAAGCCGATCGAAAGCAGGGGCTCCTACAGGGTCAACGAGATAGCCTGGAGCGAAAAGGTACACAGGGTAGCCTCCGCCGAGAGCGGGGAGATGGGGGCGAGGTTTGGCTTGGAGGGGTGGCCGGAAAAGGTGGTGCACAGGGATCTCCGAAAAGTCCTCACGCCAGTCAGCGCCCCTCATGCTCCATGGGCTCAGGATCTCGCAGGTTGCCGCACTCTTGCTGAAGCTCGCTACACCTGCAACCCAGGGCCAAGCACGCTGCAGCCGTTAAAACTCAGACAGCTAGATGCACACGAGCGCGTCTGTTTACAAAGTCAGCTGTATTCTGCCAAGCTGTGCTCCTTTGCAGTGATAAAATGTATCCCCTGTTTGGTACGGGTGTACCCCTCCCTCCGGCCTTCGCTCCAAGTCGGACTTCTCCCCGGCCGCCTTCTGCCCCTCCTGCTCAAAGTCTGCCATTCTTCCTCAGCAGTACCAAACGTAGTCATAGGCAAGCATAAGTGCTCAAGTCAAGAACAAATGGGTTAGATGCTACTGCATGGTTGCATTGAGTTGCTCATTCCCACGCAAGCACAAGACAGATTGACCAAGACTGAATGTAAGCCATGTAAAGCACAACATCGTTTCAAAGGCCACAGAAGCAATTCCTCGAAAACAATGGTGGCCCTCACATTCCGTGCCCGCCTCCCCAGATACCGTGGGCAAATACTATTAAAAACCCAAAATGACTCCACCAAGGCAGGCAAGCGTCGTGACAGCTCCTGGTTGCTTGCTTCAAGCTTCTGCGACCTCGGGGTGCTCCACAAACAGTGAAAAGCGCACAAATATCACGCAGCAGGCATGCACCAACAATAGTTGCAAGATGCTGCAAGCCAGAACGTGAACCGGGCCATCATCTCCAACAACATCAGCACTAAATGACCCCGAAGGAAGCAGCCTCACGCCAGTCAGCGCCCCTCATGCTCCATGGGCTCAGGATCTCGCAGGTTGCCGCACTCCTGCTGAAGCTCGCTACACCTGCAACCCAGGGCCAAGCACGCTGCAGCCGTTAAAACTCAGACGGCTAGATGCACACGAGCGCGTCTGTTCACAAAGTCAGTGCTCCTTCGCAATGACAAAACGTACCCCATGTTTGATACGGTTGTACCCCTCCCTCCGGCCTTCGCTCCAAGTCGGACTTTTCCCCGGCCGCCTTCTGCCCCTCCTGCTCAAAGTCTGCCGCTCTTCCTCAGCTGTCTCAAGTTCAGTCATAGACAAGCATGAATGCTTCAGAACAAATGGGTTAGACGCTACCGTTACACAATGCACATGGTTGCACTGAGTTCCTCATTCCCACGCACAAACGAGACACATTGACCAAGCCAGGGCCCACTGAATGTAAGCCATGAGAAGCAAGACATCGCTTCAAAGACAACAGAAACAATTCCTCGAAAACAATGGTGTCCTCACATTCCGTGCCTGCCTCCCCAAATACCGTGGGCAAGTACTATGAAATACCCAAAAATGACTGCGCCAAGGCAGGCAAGTATCGTGACAGCTCCTGGTTGCTTGCTTCAAGCTTCTGCGACCTCGGGGTGCCCCACAAACAGTGAGAAGCGCACAAATATCATGCAGCAGGCATTCACCAACAATAGTTGAAAGCCAGAACGTGAACCGGGCCATCATCTCCAACAACATCAGCACTAAATGACCCCGAAGGAAGCAGCCTCACGCATCAGCCAGTCAGCGCCCCTCATGCTCCATGGGCTCAGGATCTCGCAGGTTGCCGCACTCCTGCTGAAGCTCGCTACACCTGCAACCCAGCACCAAGCATGCTGCAGCCGTTAAAACTCTGACGGCTAGATGCACACGAGCGCGTCTGTTTACAAAGTCAGCTGTATTCTGCCAAGCTGTGCTCCTTTGCAGTGACAAAACGTACCCCACGTTTGGTACGGGTGTACCCCTCCCTCCGGCCTTTGCTCCAAGTCGGACTTCTCCCCGGCCGCCTTCTGCCCCTCCTGCTCAAAGTCTGCCATTCTTCCTCAGCAGTACCAAACGTAGTCATAGGCAAGCATAAGTGCTCAAGTCAAGAACAAATGGGTTAGATGCTACTGCATGGTTGCATTGAGTTGCTCATTCCCACGCAAGCACAAGACAGATTGACCAAGACTGAATGTAAGCCATGTAAAGCACAACATCGTTTCAAAGGCCACAGAAGCAATTCCTCGAAAACAATGGTGGCCCTCACATTCCGTGCCCGCCTCCCCAGATACCGTGGGCAAATACTATTAAATACCCAAAATGACTCCACCAAGGCAGGCAAGTATCGTGACAGCTCCTGGTTGCTTGCTTCAAGCTTCTGCGACCTCGGGGTGCTCCACAAACAGTGAGAAGCGCACAAATATCACGCAGCAGGCATGCACCAACAATAGTTGCAAGATGCTGCAAGCCAGAACGTGAACCGGGCCATCATCTCCAACAACATCAGCACTAAATGACCCCGAAGGAAGCAGCCTCACGCATCAGCCAGTCAGCGCCCCTCATGCTCCATGGGCTCAGGATCTCGCAGGTTGCCGCACTCCTGCTGAAGCTCGCTACACCTGCAACCCAGGGCCAAGCACGCTGCAGCCGTTAAAACTCAGACGGCTAGATGCACACGAGCGCGTCTGTTCACAAAGTCAGTGCTCCTTCGCAATGACAAAACGTACCCCATGTTTGGTACGGTTGTACCCCTCCCTCCGGCCTTCGCTCCAAGTCGGACTTTTCCCCGGCCGCCTTCTGCCCCTCCTGCTCAAAGTCTGCCGCTCTTCCTCAGCTGTCTCAAGTTCAGTCATAGACAAGCATGAATGCTTCAGAACAAATGGGTTAGACGCTACCGTTACACAATGCACATGGTTGCATTGAGTTCCTCATTCCCACGCACAAACGAGACACATTGACCAAGCCAGGGCCCACTGAATGTAAGCCATGAGAAGCAAGACATCGCTTCAAAGACAACAGAAACAATTCCTCGAAAACAATGGTGTCCTCACATTCCGTGCCTGCCTCCCCAAATACCGTGGGCAAGTACTATGAAATACCCAAAAATGACTGCGCCAAGGCAGGCAAGTATCGTGACAGCTCCTGGTTGCTTGCTTCAAGCTTCTGCGACCTCGGGGTGCCCCACAAACAGTGAGAAGCGCACAAATATCATGCAGCAGGCATTCACCAACAATAGTTGAAAGCCAGAACGTGAACCGGGGCATCATCTCCAACAACATCAGCACTAAATGACCCCGAAGGAAGCAGCCTCACGCATCAGCCAGTCAGCGCCCCTCATGCTCCATGGGCTCAGGATCTCGCAGGCTGCCGCACTCTTGCTGAAGCTCGCTACACCTGCAACCCGGGGCCAAGCACGCTGCAGCCGTTAAAACTCAGACGGCTAGATGCACACGAGCGCGTCTGTTCACAAAGTCAGCTGTATTCTGCCAAGCTGTGCTCCTTTGCAGTGACAAAACGTACCCCACGTTTGGTACGGGTGTACCCCTCCCTCCGGCCTTTGCTCCAAGTCGGACTTTTCCCCGGCCGCCTTCTGCCCCTCCTGCTCAAAGTCTGCCGTTCTTCCTCAGCTGTCTCAAATGTAGTCATAGGCAAGCACAACTGTTCACAAACAAATGGGTTAGACGCTACCGTTACACAATGCAGATGGTTGCCTTGAGTTCCTCATTCCCACGCACAAACGAGACACATTGACCAAGCCAGGGCCCACTGAATGTAAGCCATGTGAAGCACAACATCGTTTCAAAGACAACAGAAACAATTCCTCGAAAACAATGGTGGCCCTCACATTCCGTGCCCGCCTCCCCAAATACCGTGGGCAAATACTATTAAATGCCAAAAAATGACTCCACCAAGGCGGGCAAGTATCGTGACAGCTCCTGGTTGCTTGCTTCAAGCTTCTGCGACCTCGGTGCTCCACAAACAGTGAGAAGCGCACAAATATCACGCAGCAGGCATGCACCAACAATAGTTGCAAGATGTTGCAAGCCAGAACGTGAACCGGGGCATCATCTCCAACAACATCAGCACTAAATGACCCCGAAGGAAGCAGCCTCACGCATCAGCCAGTCAGCGCCCCTCATGCTCCATGGGCTCAGGATCTCGCAGGTTGCCGCACTCTTGCTGAAGCTCGCTACACCTGCAACCCGGGGCCAAGCACGCTGCAGCCGTTAAAACTCAGACGGCTAGATGCACACGAGCGCGTCTGTTCACAAAGTCAGCTGTATTCTGCCAAGCTGTGCTCCTTTGCAGTGACAAAACGTACCCCACGTTTGGTACGGGTGTACCCCTCCCTCCGGCCTTTGCTCCAAGTCGGACTTTTCCCCGGCCGCCTTCTGCCCCTCCTGCTCAAAGTCTGCCGTTCTTCCTCAGCTGTCTCAAATGTAGTCATAGGCAAGCACAACTGTTCACAAACAAATGGGTTAGACGCTACCGTTACACAATGCATATGGTTGCATTGAGTTCCTCATTCCCACACACAGACGAGACACATTGACCAAGCCAGGGCCCATTGAATGTAAGCCATGTGAAGCACAACATCGTTTCAAAGACAACAGAAACAATTCCTCGAAAACAATGGTGGCCCTCACATTCCGTGCCCGCCTCCCGAAATACCGTGGGCAAATACTATTAAATACCCAAAATGACTCCACCAAGGCGGGCAAGTATCGTGACAGCTCCTGGTTGCTTGCTTCGAGCTTCTGCGACCTCGGTGCTCCACAAACAGTGAGAAGCGCACAAAGATCACGCAGCAGGCATGCACCAACAATAGTTGCAAGATGTTGCAAGCCAGAACGTGAACCGGGCCATCATCTCCAACAACATCAGCCTTACGCTTCAGCCGCAGGCTATCGCGTCTCTTTGATGGTATGGAAAGCTTAACTGGTATTCACAGGCTGTGACAACAAACGCATGGTCTCAGAAATACTTCAGACCGGGAGTGCAACGAGGAACCAACCCGCACTAATTGGAATCCAGGTATTGTTGAAGGCATTTCACCCTGGCTATTTTGACCTCGTGAGGTCTCAACAAAACGCCATCAGAAAACCTCTCAACAATGAGAATGACCTATCCTAGTCAACGGATCCATCTACATATGCGCCCCTCATGCTCCGTGGGCTCAGGATCTCGCAGGTTGCCGCACTCTTGCTGAAGCTCGCTACACCTGCAACCCGGGGCCAAGCACGCTGCAGCCGTTAAAACTCGGCTAGATGAACACGAGCGCGTCTGTTCACAAAGTCAGCTGTATTCTGCCAAGCTGTGCTCCTTTGCAGTGACAAACCGTACCCCACGTTTGGTACGGGTGTACCCCTCCCTCCGGCCTTTGCTCCAAGTCGGACTTTTCCCCGGCCGCCTTCTGCCCCTGCTGCTCAAAGTCTGCCGTTCTTCCTCAGCTTGCTTTCGTCATGCACCCGCTGGCAAGTGCAGTCATAGGCAAGCACAAGTGCTTGAAAACAAATGGGCTAGATGCTACTGTTTCACACTGCAAGTTGCTCATTCCCACGCAAAAAAAAAGAGGACAGATTGACCAAGACAATCTGAATGTAAGCCATTCAAAGGCCACAGAAACAGTTCCTCGAAAACAATGGTAATTAGCACTCACATACCGTGCTAGCCTTCCTAAAAATCATGGGCAAATACCCAAAAACGACTCCACCAAGGCAGGCAGGTGTCGAGACAGCTCCTGGTTGCTTGCCTCAAGCTTCTGCGACAGATCCTTGACTTCCGAGGACCTAGGGAGCCGGAAGCATGACGTGATGCATCAAGCATAACTATGAGGAGCGCACAGCACATGCACCAACCATGGCTGCACCAACTGGGTACTGGGTCGTCATACGTCGTCCAGTCAGCCCCCCCTCATGCTGCATGGGCTCAGAATCTCGCAGGTTGCCGCACTCCTGCTGAAGCTCGCTACACCTGCAGCAGCCCCAAAGCGCCCCAGGACCAAGCACGCTGAAGCGGCAGACAAAAATCAAACGGCTAGATGCACAAAGAGCTGTGCTCCTTTGCAGTGATAGGATGCATCCAATGTTTGGTACAGGTCTCTCCCTCGTCTCCCTCCCTCCGGCCTTCGCTCCAAGTCGGACTTCTCCCCAGCCGCCTTCTGCCCCTCCTGCTCAAAGTCTGCCGTTCTTCCTCAGCGTGCTTTCGTCATGCCCACCCTGGCTTCTGACACATGAAGGCATAGGCAAGCATAGGTGCTTGAAAACAAATGGGTCACATGATCAGTTAGATGCTACTTTTGCACACCACACATGGTCGCATTGAGTTGCTCATTCGTGCACAAGTGAAGCGTAGACACTTTGATCTGAACGGGACCCACAGAACGTTCAAAAGCGCAGTGCATCTCAAACACCGCATGCGCAAAACGAACCGACAATGCCGTAGACGCCTCCAATTGGAACGGCTCCGCGAAAACAATGGTAGCCCAATACCATGGAAGTGGGACACCACCAAGGCAGACAAGGGTCGTGACAGCTCCTGGTTGCTTGCCTCAAGCTTCTGCGACAAATCCTTGACTTCCGAGGACCTAGGTACGCCGAAAGTAACTGCTGACAACGCATCAAGCGCTCTCCATACGTCGTAAAGAGCACACAAACAGCATGAAGCAGGCATACACCGACAATATTGGCAAGTCAAATCAAGCCAGAATGTGAACCGGGCCATCATCTCCAACAACATCAGCACCAAACAACCATGAAGGAAGCAGCTCAGGATCTCGCAGGTTGCCGCACTCCTGCTGAAGATTGCTACACCTGCAGCAGCCCAAGCATGCAGCCGCAGACTAAGCTCAATCTGCACGATGCACACTGAGCGCAGCCTCTCTTAACCAAGGTCAGATGTAATCGCCCGAACTGGGCTCCGGTGGCCGGATGTGTCTCATGTTTGGCGTGGGTGTACCCGATGTACCCCTCCCTCGGGCCTTCGCTCCAAGTCGGACTTTTCCGCGGCCGCCTTCTGCCCCTCCTGCTCAAAGTCTGCCGTTCTTCCTCAGCGTTCTTTGGTGATGCACACGTGCTGACTTCTGGCAAATGCAGCCATAGGCAAGCATGAGTGCTGAAAACAAATGAGTTGGATGCTACTATTGCACACTGCACATGGTGGCATTGAGTTGCTCATTCGTGCACGAGCAAAACGTAGGTACATTGTCCCAAACAGGAATTCATCTAAATCCATGATGGGAAAGGCAGCTGAATTTCAAAAAGCCACATTATGCACCAGAAAACTGCGCATGCCATTGTAGAAGTGCTGCGAACGCTGAGAATTGAAAGGACTCCCTCAACAACCCGGGCCTGCCCGCATACAACTACGGCGGACTTCCCCAAATGCCATGGACTAACACCCAAAAAGGACACCACCAAGGCAGACAAGGGTCGTGACAGCTCCTGGTTGCTTGCCTCAAGCTTCTGCGACAAATCCTTGACTTCCGAGGACCTAGGTACGACGAAAGTAACTGCTGACAACGCATCAAGCGCGCTCCATACGTCGTAAAGAGCACACAAACAGCATGAAGCAGGCATACACCGACAATATTGGCAAGTCAAATCAAGCCAGAATGTGAACCGGGCCATCATCTCCAACAACATCAGCACCGAACAACCATGAAGGAAGCAGCTCAGGATCTCGCAGGTTGCCGCACTCCTGCTGAAGATTGCTACACCTGCAGCAGCCCAAGCATGCAGCCGCAGACTAAGCTCAATCTGCACGATGCACACTGAGCGCAGCCTCTCTTAACCAAGGTCAGATGTAATCGCCCGAACTGGGCTCCGGTGGCCGGATGTGTCTCATGTTTGGCGTGGGTGTACCCGATGTACCCTTCCCTCGGGCCTTCGCTCCAAGTCGGACTTTTCCCCGGCCGCCTTCTGCCCCTCCTGCTCAAAGTCTGCCGTTCTTCCTCAGCGTTCTTTGGTGATGCACACGTGCTGACTTCTGGCAAATGCAGCCATAGGCAAGCATGAGTGCCTAAAACAAATGAGTTGGATGCTACTATTGCACATTGCACATGGTGGCATTGAGTTGCTCATTCGTGCACGAGCAAAACGTAGGTACATTGTCCCAAACAGGAATTCATCTAAATCCATGATGGGAAAGGTAGCTGAATTTCAAAAAGCCACATTATGCACCAGAAAACTGCGCATGCCATTGTAGCAGTGCTGCGAACGCTGAGAATTGAAAGGACTCCCTCAACAACCCGGGCCGGCCCTGCATACAACTACGGCGGACTTCCCCAAATGCCATGGACTAACACCCAAAAAGGACACCACCAAGGCAGACAAGGGTCGTGACAGCTCCTGGTTGCTTGCCTCAAGCTTCTGCGACAAATCCTTGACTTCCGAGGACCTAGGTACGACGGAAGCATGATGCGCTGATCATGCATCAAGCGCTTCAGGAACCACGAAGAGCGACAAACAGCATACAGCACACCTGCAGTAAGCATGGCGAACTGAGACGTCATATGTTATTATCTCCAATAACCATCAGCACTGAATGACCCCGAGGGAAGCAGCCTCACGCATCAGCCAGTCAGCGCCCCTCATGCTCCATGGGCTCAGCATCTCGCAGGTTGCCGCACTCCTGCTGAAGCTCGCTACACCTGCAGCAGCCCAAGCAAACTCCAAGGCGCCCCAGGACCAAGCACGCTGCAGCCAGACAAAACTCAAACAACTAGATGCACCCGAGCGCAGCGTCTCTTCACAAAGTCAGCTGTCTGTGCTCCCCTGCAGAGACAGGATGTCTCCAATGTTTGGTGCGGGTGTATCCCTCCCTCCGGCCTTCGCTCCAAGTCGGACTTTTCCCCGGCCGCCTTCTGACCCTGCGTCTCAAAGTCTGTCGTTCTTCCTCAGCGTGCTTTGGTCATGCACACGCCCTGCCTTCTGACACATGTAGTCATAGACAAGCATAAGTGCTTGAAATTGAACCTTGCACATGATCGCTTGCTCAGTCGGGCACAGGTGAAACGTAGACACTTTGATCTAGCCAGGACCCACAGAATGTATGACAAGCGTAGTGGGGTTTCAGGCCGCATGCGCAAAAAGAACCTACACCCAAACCATTTTGACAATGCCGCAAACACCTCCACTGGAACGGAGCCGCGAAAACAATGGTAGCCCTCACACACCGTGCCAGAAGGCCTTCCCAAATACCGCGTAAACGGGAAACCACCAAGGCAGGCAAGGATCGTGACAGCTCCCGGTTGCTTGCCTCAAGCTTCTGCGACAGGCCCTTGACTTCCGAGGACCTAGGGTGCCGGAAACATGATGTGCTGATCATTCATGAAGCCTTTCATGAAAGCGCACAAACAGCATGAAACAGGCATACACCAACAATAGTTGCAAGCCAGAATGTGAGCTGGCTTGTCATCTCCAACAACATCAGCACTGAAAAACCATGAAGGAAGCAGCCTCACGCATCAGCCAGTCAGCGCCCCTCATGCTCCATGGGCTCAGGATCTCGCAGGTTGCCGCACTCCTGCTGAAGCTCGCTACACCTGCAGCAGCCCAAGCAAACTCCAAGGCGCCCCAGGACCAAGCACGCTGCAGCCAGACAAAACTCAAACAACTAGATGCACCCGAGCGCAGCGTCTCTTCACAAAGTCAGCTGTCTGTGCTCCCCTGCAGAGACAGGATGTCTCCAATGTTTGGTGCGGGTGTATCCCTCCCTCCGGCCTTCGCTCCAAGTCGGACTTTTCCCCGGCCGCCTTCTGACCCTCCTGCTCAAAGTCTGCCTTTCTTCCTCAGCGTGCTTTGGTCATGCACACACCCTGACTTCTGGCAAATGCAGTCATAGGCAAGCATAAGTTCTTGAAAACCAATGGGTTAGCTGCTACTGCTGCACACTGCACATGGTTGCATTGAGCAGCTCTTGCGTGCACAAGTTTAACACGTAGACACTTTGACCTAGACAGGACCCAAGAAAGTCTGCCATGGGAGGCCCGACCTCGTTTCAAAGGCCGCATGCGCAAAAGCAACCGGGTATCCTGTGCCCAAACCGTGTTCAGTTTGGACACCATGAGATGGAACTGCTCCTCAAAAACAGCCCTTGCCAGCCTTCCCAAATACTGTGGAAACAGGACGCCAAGGCAGGCAAGGATCGCGACAGCTCCTGGTTGCTTGCCTCAAGCTTCTGCGACAAATCCTGGACCTCCGAGGACCTAGGTGAATCAACGTACCGTTCGCCCTTGAGCCTGCACAAGCTTCGCGTCGAGCAAGTAGCATGCTTCACGCAACTGCTACTTGCTCCTCGCGCACTGCGGGGCCTTTGACAACTTTATGCAAGCAACATAAACAAGTCAGGTAATATCCAACGCTTTTGTTTCGACAGCTCAGGTTCTTGCAGGTTGCCGCACTCTTGCTGAAGCTCGCTACACCTGCGCTGCGAAAAGCAGATGCCGACTCCCATAATCCAAGATACCAACGCGGGAGCCAAGCATGCTGCATATCAGAAGGCAAAAGCAAGCACAACCACGCCTGCATGCATCCAGCTACAGAACTCTAATTTGAAGTGAGGGATCTGTATGCCATGCTACGCCCTTCCTGGCCTCCGCTCCAAGTCGGCCTTTTCCCCAGCCGCCTTCTGCCCCTCCTGCTCAAAGTCGGCCGTTTTTCCTGAGCTCTTTCTCACGTTCTTGTGATCCTGGAGTGAATTAGTGAATTCACGCCACCCCCAACAGTCGTTGAGGGTCCCTTGGTTTCAAAGTGGTTCCGGCCATTCCCGGCCGAGCGTCTGGACAGCTCCCGGCTGCCGGCCTCCAGCTTCTGCGACAGATCACTGACCTGCCCGGACCTGGGGGCGCACACACGGGGGCTGGGGAACTTGGGATGCGGTGTTGCAAGGGTTTAAGGGGGCCAACCACGGCTCCAGTTGCAACCGCTCCTTAGCCTCATTATGTTGGTTGAACCGAGCGAGGTTGCTTCACCAATAGCCCCTTCGCGCACGTAAGCTGCAAGCCCATGCACGCCTCACACGAAACGAGCGATGCTGATCTCAGACTCTGGCAGGTTGTCGCATTCTTGCCGAAGATCGCCACACCTGCACACTGGGAGGCACATGGATGCAGTGACCGTGATCCTCCAGATCTTCGGAAATGTGCAGCGTGAGGCTGCTGAACAAAATTTGGAGCAGGCCTCCGCTCCAAGTCGGCCTTCTCACTGGTCAATTCTCGCTCGCCCTTCTCGAATGCTGATGTTTTTCCTCGGATGAGGCAACCCTGCCCTTCAATTCAATCACACGGACCGTGCCTGTCATGCCAGATTGAAATGTGAAAAAATGTCCTTCGGCTTTGCGTGTCCCTCGCACAAGCGACATAAGCTTTTCGGGCCACCTTCAGGTTCCATGTGCAAAGGGCAACTGTCTCCAGTGCTCTCAATGCGCCAAAGCTTCTGGTCAATTCCAGGTTGCTCGCTTCCAGCCGCTCAGTCAAATCCTGAATTTCCGAAGACCTCAGAAACTGAAAGGGCCAAGCGGCGGGCAAAGGGCCTCTGACTCAAGAAATCAAGACTCCACGAGCCAGTGTGATGGAACTGGTTTAAAACCTGGGGTTGATATACTGCTGTCACCGCTGTCTTTGAATTTCCGTGCACTCAGTTGAGAGACTGCTGGAACTTTGATATCCTCTTGATTAATCGATTCTAATGTCTTGATTCTTCAACAATGGCCTTCGCATTGCTGTAACACGGAGCATTTATTTCTGCTAAACCTTCTGCAATATGTCAGGAGTGATCTTATGTCGCTCCCGCTGAAGGGGAATCTTTGCCACAATGCTTGATCACGCATGCTTGACCAACCAATGAATCCGAGAACCTCTGCCACAGGCAAAGGCAAAACAGCTAAAAACGAGTGAGCACGAGGTGAGGGCTGAACAGGATTGGCGAGGGTTTGACCAATGTTTCGGAACTGTTTCTCGCACCACCTTGAAATCTACTGAGCACGGGCCGCCCCACCGCTGTCTGCACTGGTTTTGAAGTTCGTCACACCTCAGCATGAGCTGCCTTGACTGCAGCACATCAAATCTGGAAACAGGCTGAAGATCAGGCGATGAATGCGCACCATGACCTGCGTCTGTCTGGCTCAAGTTTTCCATGTGAGACATGCCTCTCACTGAAATCGCGCTGCCATGGCCTACGTATATTTCACACGGCTGAAGCCAGTTTGACAATGCGCGGCGCTGACGCTGCGATCACGCTGTGCAAAGACTTGCTCAAAACAAGACGCCTTGCAAAGGTTTCAGCAAGCTCGACCCCTAAAGACCCCCACCGCGACAAGTCTCAAACAACCCCAAGTGTCACAGCAAAAAAAAAAACGAGCACAGCACGCCACAAATGCGTCCTGCACAAAAACACAATCAGCAAGCACGCCGGGCCACAAAAAAAGCTTGCAGCCCATGCAGGGAACACCTCCCGCCATATATCATTCGCCGCCGGAAGCTCTTTCCGGGCTTCGGGCTGCTGCTGCATCTGCCGGCCGGCGGCCTCTAAGGACCTCGGGCTCGAGAGCTGAGACTGGCAGTCAGATGGTCCCCGTTTGGAAAACCATCACGGGTTTCCCGCGCAAACGCGGGGGGGCCCACGGAGAAACCAAATGGCACCAAAGCAAGTTTGGACCTTCAGGGGGTACCTTCCCCAATCGGCCATTTGAGCGGAACGGGTTCAACCCCTTTCTTCTTGACGCCGGCCGGCTAGAAACAGAACCCCAATCCCAACAAAAACAGGCCAGCCCCACACCAACTGAAGGGTCCCCTGACGAGGCCCTCGGACTTCTCCGAGGCCAAGGCTCCCTCGCCTTGGACTCCTCCGCCAGCTCTGCTGCCTGGCCGCGGGCTCCCGGAGGAAAACGACACACGCGTGCTGCTGCAGCTTTGCCATCATGAAACGGACATTGAACACGACACGCCCACTCGAGTGGGACGCACAGCTCATTAGGTGGCGCGCAGGCCGAGTTGCGCGCCAGGGAGGGGTGAGAGAAGGAAACCACAAGGTCTCCACTCCTTGGTGTACATGTTGGGGATTCGGTGGAGTGCTTGGCACGCCAATGTGTAAGCGGACTTGTGGTCTTGATGCGCCGGGCCGTCTGCCTCACCACTGGAACGCAAGCGCAATCATCGGAATGCGTCAGGTTGCACCCTACAGACTTCGCCGTTCGAAAGCTTCCCCTTTGGGGGGCACCGTCCCTCACGACATCCGCGCCTTAGCTGCCAGGTCCGCTTGGAGCTGCTGGCCTTGGACCAAAGCCATGGGCGCCTGAGCCCCAGGTTGCACCCAGAGCAAAACACAAACCAGGATAAGACGTCAAACGGACGGGCTGCAGGCCGGAGGTTGGAGGTTGGAAGAAAACTGAGCTTTTCCCATTTTTCCATTTGGCTCTGAATTCAACTTGCCCGCCCGATGCACCCACAGCCAACCCATGCGCACATGAGCCAGCGACTGTTCTTGCTCGAGGCCGCCTCAACATCCGCCTTCATTTGCTGCACCTGTCGAAGGGTTGGAACATGTCGACGTGAACAGAGCTGTTGGGGTGACGGTAACGCTTGCTCTGCAGCAAGAGGCATGGCCTCACGTCGCTAATCAAAAATGAAAGCTTGGCCAGTACAAAGGGTTATGAAGGGCCCACACACCTTCCCGCGTTTTCCGACGACTGGATGGCAAACCTTGGCTCAGAGTTGTTTATTTTCCGCAGTCTCAGCCTCATTTCGTGGCACGCGCGGCCCACGCAGCCCGTGCAGCCTGCGCACCCGGCTCGTGCACGAATTCAGCAGGGATCAGACTGCGGCCTGCAAGATCACCGTGAATTCCGCGTGACAACGGCCCCTTTGCACGCGCTGATGACGCTGTTGTAGATGGCATCGTCTTGTTGAAAGCTTAGCCTTTGGGTCGCCGCCAGCAGCTGCACCGCTGCCAGCCACTGCGCCGCCAGCTCGCACGCATTCACCGCAGCGCCACAGCACACCAGGTCCAGCAGCTGCTCCGCGCGCGCCCGCTCTGCCAGGCGCAGCGCCTCCGTCCACGTGGCTCCGAGACCCAGCGCTGAGGTGTACGAGATCGCGTCCCGCTCCAGGGAGATTCGCCGGAGCTCCGCAAGCAGGCTCAAGGCAGCTGAGCGCTGGTGCCCTCCCGCGCAAACTGCAATGGCTGCATTGTAGACGATCGCGTTGCCTCCGTCCAGCAGCAGCAGCGCCCAGCTCCAGTGCCGCACTAAGGCTGACACCGCCGCAGACTGGGTGCTGCTGGTGCGCCGCAAGCTCCGCTGCTCGAGCTGGCGCGGCAGCTGCAGAGCCCAGCGCCAGGCCTGGCGCTCTGCGCAGGCGCCGAGGCAGGCGTTGAAGAGCACCACATTCACCTGGACCTCCTGGCAGGCGCGCCCCAGCAGCTCCAACGCCTCCTCCCAGCGATCCACAGCACCCATGGCCGCCCCGTAGGAGACTGCGGATTTTCGGCGCAGGGCGTGGAAGCACCTCAAAGCCAGCGACCACTGCTTCGCCTTTGCAAGGGAAGCAATCGCGGTGTTGAAGGTCATAAGGTTGCCTTCCACCTGCCGCACCTGCATCTCTTGCAGTAGCGCCAGCACATGCTGCCAAGCGCCTCTACAAGCGCTCATGGCTGCAGTATAGCTGACCACATCGCCGTCCACCTGGCTCAGCAGCTTGAGCGCTGGGCGCCACTCCGCCGCTCCGGCGCAGGCGGTGATGCAGGCGTTGTACGTCACCAGGTCTGGGTGCGGCTCCAGCAGCGCGAGGGCCTGGCGCCAACAGGAGGCCTTCTCGCAGGCCGACACGGCCGCATTGCGCGTGATCTGGTCGTGCAGGCCATGTTCGCGGGACATGGCCAACAGAGACAGCGCCAGCTCCCAGTGCGCCCCCTTCTCGCAAGCACTGATGGCCGTGTTGAAGGAGACGACGTTCCTCCGCGCCGCCTGCGTCTCCATGTGCTGAAAGACCAGCAGAGCCATCTGCCACTGCGCTCCTCGGACACAGGCGTGCTGTGCGGCATTGAAGCTCACCGCATCCCTCCGACGGCATCGCAGCAGCTCCAGCGCCTCCTGCCAGCGCTCGCCTTTCGCGCAGGCGCTGATGGCCTTGTTCAGCTGCAGGCTGCTGGGAAACTCCGTCGGAGCGCGCATGGCCCCATGACTTGAGCCCTGGGCCAAAACGGCACGCTCCCAAGGCGCAACTGGCTAGCCCTGCCAAACTGAGCCAAAGCCTCAAGCTCCACGAATCGCCCCGGCTGGGCCCAGCCTCCGACAGCTCTTGCTGGAGGCGAGCACCTTCCTGGCAGCACATGGCAGCTTTCTGGACATAGCAGCCCACCAACCTTCGTGGAAGCTTGGTTGAAAGCTGGCTTTGCTTTGAAAGAACTCCTCTCAGGTTCAAAGTGAGCTTGAAGTGGCTAAACCTGACTGAAGCCAACCAAACCGCTTGTGGGAAACCCCCCAACGCGAGCGCTTGTGGGCCCGCCTCTGTTGCGCGCTGCTTCTCCAAGTCGAGCTCCTGCGACTTGCCTGCAATTTTGGGCTCCAACGCAGAAAGGGCTCCCACAGTTTCCACTTTCTCCGGGCGGATCGTGGTCATCTAGGACACGCAACAGCGAAAACGGCTTCCTGGGATCGCTAAATGGCGATGAACCCAAGTTTGGGTGCACATGACTACTAGCAATCAACCCCCTCCCAAAACATGAACCTTCCATGAATGAGAAATACTAGCAACCGTTCAAAGGTTTCTTGCCAAAACATGAGGCAGCCGCGGAAAGGCAAAGCTTTTCCCTGGTCCGGTTTGAGCCAAGGGTGGCCCTGAATGGTCCTCAGTACCAGTAGCTACACAAATTATGTCACCAATAAGTCGCCAGGTTCCTCTGGACGGCTCCTCTACGTGTGACGAGAGAGGGCCACACGCCGGCGACGCGACTCCGCTCGACTCCGCTCGATGCCAAACCAACGCCCCGCGCTTTGATACGCCAGCTCCAGGTCCCGGTGCTGCCCCCTGAGCTTCGCCAGCTCATTTGAAGCGCCCTGAAGCGGGCGCGGGGTCTCACACTCAGGGAGTCACTCAAATGAGTCAGTCATCTGGCACTAAGATGGTGTACCCAAAACCATCAATGCTTTACAAGGGCGGATGCACACATTTATGTTTGAGAGCATCCTTTACCAACCTTGATCTACACAGGGTTTGATTGTGGCTCACATGTTGGCTTACGCTGAAAGAAACATGTATGCCTGACACTTACTTGGGTGGCCATCACCCAAGAAAAACAATCAACACATGGGAACGGTCGCGGCGAGTTTTCAAGCACATGTTCGACACAAGCCGGCTGACTTCACCACCCTCGACGAGTGAGCTGGAAAAAAAGGCTGGCGCCGGGCCTCAAGGTCTCGAGTCAAAGTGGCGAGCCTGGCGGCCGCCAAACCAGAAACAGTTTCCCTTTAATTGGTGGGTTGGATAATGATTACCTGAAAAACAAAACAAATAGCAAACAAAAACAGAAGCCTGGGCCTGACCCCTGAGTTTCAGACCATGACTCGCTCCGGGGACCAGGCTGGTCTTGCTGCAGCTTGGCTTTGGCGCCTGCGGTCTGCCTCGGAAGAGCCAAGAGCGAGCGGCAACGGAAGAGATCCTTTGACCCACATCCTCAACCCAGGCACCTTTCCCGGGCGAAATCAAGTGGCCTGCGTGCGATCTTGAAGAGCAACTGTAAACTTACCAAGATTTGGGTAGCAGCAACAATGAAAAAAAATCCTGCATCAAAAATAAAAATTGGCTTTAATAAAACACTCCCTCAACACACCACCACCGCGACCCCCCCCCCAACACACCTCCGAAAACTGTCTGTTAGTCTTTCCCGAGAAGTGTGTTTGGGCGTGGTTTTTTTGGGGGGTCCCCTGCAGGGGGTGCGAGGCTTGAGGGGCAACCTGGGGTCAGCTCCTCAGTCCCCTCCCTTCTGCCGAAGAACTCTGCGGAGATTCGCTCCTCCTGCGCTGTGGCCAACTTCCGACCGAAGTCCTGCTCTAGCTCCTCACCTCAATCAGCGCAGGAGTTGCGCGCGCGCATGCGCGCGAACGCGCGCACCCCCACACACACACACACACACACACACACACACACACACACACACACACACACACACACACACACACACACACACACACACACACACACACACCGCACGCACGCACGCACGCACGCACGCACGCACGCACGCACGCACGCACGCACGCACGCACGCACGCACGCACGCACGCACGCACGCACGCACGCACGCACGCACGCACGCACGCACCACACGCACGCACACACGCACACGCACACACACACACACACGCACACGCACCCACACACACACACACACACACACACACACACACACCACACAGACACACGCACACACGGACACACGGACACACACACACAGACTCACACACGGGCACACGCGCACACGCGCACACGCGCACACGCGCACACGGACACACGCGCACACGCGCACACGCGCACACGCGCACACGCGCACACGCGCACACGCACACACGCACACCCGCACACCCGCACACCCGCACACACGCACACACGCACACACCACCCGCACACACGCACACACACACACACACACTTATCTCGAGAGGCTTCACTAGCCGAGATGAAAAGGTTGGAAAAACCTGCAACTGTAACTGCTGAAATTGCTTGACAGATCACAATGCAGAACAGAAACCGGGAAGCAACAGCGAACAGGACAGAAAAACAGTCAGGAAAAAAAAGGAAAGGCAGGTACGTCCAGCTGGCCAAGCTGGATATCCCACTTCACTGGTAGCTTCGTTGGACACAGACCCAGTGAAGTGCTGTGTCCCCCTGCTCAGGTTTAACGTCCGTGTTCCAGGACGGTTCACACACACAAGGCCCCGAGTGGGGCGAGCTCACTTGTGCAAGGCCCATTGAGTCTTGCAGTCTTCGACTGTGCGGGAAAGTCTCGTGGCGATGACAGACCATGCATGCTTGGCCTTGGTATTGATCTTAAGCGAACGGAGGAGATCAATCTCCTCCTCAGTCCAGGGTTGCGAGGCTTCGGGATCAGCCTCAGCAGCGGCATCAGTCCTGGTCGATGGGGTAGCTTCGCGTTGTCCACGGGTAGGTTTGGATGCCGTAGCGCGTGAGGAGGTCTTGTCGCGTGTGCGACGAGCTCGTTTTTTGTCAGGAGGAGAGGGTGGAGTGGGCGGAGTCCAATGATCAGGAAATTGTTCATCATGATCTGCGAGAAGTTGTTCGCCAGGATCTTCAGGAAGTGGTTCATTGAGATCATCGGGGGGGGTCAGGGGAGGTGTAGGTGGTGAAATGGCCATGTCCTCCACGGTGAGAATGAGTGGAGCTTCCGGTGCAAAATCCGGACCCTCAGCGAACTCGCGAATGGTGGCGAAGCCTTGCTGGGCAATGCCGATGATGAGTTCAAAATCTTCAAGCAGCCGGCGTGCTGTGTCAGGATCCATAATCGCAAAAGGTTTTATGTCAAACAGCTGCGGTGTGAAAACAGGTCATGTGGGGATCTGCTGGTGGGCAAAGAGTGAAAAAGTGGGTGCAATCATAAAAAGTGGCAAAGGAAGGCCGGTACGTTTTTTCCTTCTTTCTGCAAAGTGAAACCGTGTTGGTCGTACAACTTCGTTAACAATGCGAGATCGTGATCTCGCTGAAACTCAGGAAAGGAAACCCGGCTGATCAGCGTGCGTCTGGAGTAATATCCAGATTCCTTGTGCATCATTGGTGCGGCCGATTTGATGGAGAGCATGTTGTGCTTCTCATACGAGGGGATGAAGGAGATGGTGCCGCACTCAAGGTCCAGTCGAAAACCCAAGAAATCCAGGGCGGCTTCTGTCTCCAAAATGATGTCTCCTCCATAGAAGTGTTCGTCGCACAAGATGTGGGCTGCCGGGGTCGAAAGCCATCTAGGAGTTGCGACCACGAGCCTGTTATCCACATAGCGGAGTAGGAGGGTGTCCTCAAAGGAGCGAGGTCCCGAAGTAGGATGGGTGTTGGCCCAAATTTGCTCGGCAACCGCAATTACCATCAGGCATAAAGCAGGGGATGCGGGGGATCCCATCGGGGCCCCGCGTGTTTGCCTGAAGGAACGGAAGCCGACAGAAAAGATCTGCATGTCAAGGGTAGCTTGGATGATATCGGGGATGTTGTCAAGCCACAGAGTGCGTTGTGCCGGCTTGTGTCGGCGACGGCGTCCGTTGTAGACGCGGGTGGTGGAAGAGGTGTCAAGTGTGTCCACAGTGAGGTGTGTGGTGGTGGAATGTGGTTGCCGCTGTCGGTACCAAGTCAAAAGTAGACGCCAGGCTGCTAAGAAGCGGTCTTTGTCGATGGAAGTGAAGAAGCCGGAAAGGTCCTGGTTTCGACAGTCCAGAGGGGTGTGGCCGAGGCGGAGAAACTCATGCAAAGACCGCATGAGATCGAAGAGGTCGCCACCTGAAAATGCGTCTGGGCAGGCCGTGGCAACCATGCTGTGGAGCAATTTGGCGAGAGCGTCAAGCATGGGTCGGAAGAAGGCGCCAACGAAGCTGATGATGGGCCGAGCAGTGGTCCAGTTCTTCTTTTTCTTGGGGAGGATGTAGGCAGTCGCTGGCCGTCCGAAGCCGGTCACGGCCCATGGATAGCGACCGCGGAATCTGCTGACAATGCTTTCTCGTTGCCGTTGATGGATCTCAATGGAGGGGACTCGCAAGGGAGCAAAGATGGCAGGATCCGTGAATGTGGCGTCCAGCATCTTGCCGTACACAGCGGGGCAATAGAGCATGAGTCGGGAGTCTGCATGATCTTCGCAATGGCGGACAAGGGGCTCCAGGGTTGTTAGAGCCTGTTGAACATGAGCATGTAGAAAGTACTGTGGTGTGTGAGGACGGTGGAGGTCGAAATGGAAATCGACAAGAGTGGAAAGGGTTGATGGATCGAGCGAGGGCAGGTTGTTGGTCCTGGCCCAGTGGTGAAACGCCTGAGTCAGACGATTCATCAAGACCCCGCGTGGAGGAAAGAAGGAGTTCCGCATTGAACCAGAAAGCATGCTGACTATGTCGGGGTCGAACAACTCATGAGTGTCGGAGCCGGAAAAAAGAAGGTGTCCCTCATGCTTCGGGAGGGATGGGTGTCGCTTGGCGAGGTCGGTACATGTGCAGGACAGCTCGCCGAGACTCCAGGTTTGAGCTGCCTGGAGGTGTGAGAACAAGGCACTGGATAGTTTCCGGTGTGCCTTGAAAACGATGCGTGGTTGCGCCACATGAAACGGTAGAGCACTGCGGGTGGTGGATCTGACAAACCCGCGGAGCTGGGTCAAAAGCAAAGTCCGAAAGGAGGGATGTGCGAAGAAAGGCGCAAGCATCGGTCTGGAGGGGCCGGGTGGGATAAGGCCCCGGAAGCGCAGGCTAGATCGAATGGCAGAGATGCATGCCTGGTGGTGTGGTTCAGGCAAGTGCGCAGCGATGCGATGAAGGATGTATAGGGCAGCGTGTGGGAAGTCCCTGCTCCGTATGTAACGGATGGCATCGAATCGTCGTAGGGTGTTGCTGCCAAGATCGCCCAAAAGGCGCCACAAATCCAGGCGGTTGCTCATACGCTTGGCAAGGAAAGCTTGTTGCAGAGCGATTGGTAGTCGTAGTCTGCGACGCTTCCGCCAAATGAAAGCCCGTGCGTGGCCGAAAATGTCTCTCGATGAAGCCAAAATTGAGAGACGGTTGCAGTTCCTGAATGTAGAACTGCTCAGTAGCGAAGAGGTCGGTTGCTGGGACGGCAATGTGGATGGGCACTGAAGCGTAAAAGTGGAAAACATCGAAATGCGCCCACCATCGAACGGCCAGCTTGGCGTTGACCAAATGGTGTCGTTGAACCTGGAGTAGCTTGCGGAATCGGCTGTGATCCCGAGCCATGAGAGAGGTGCGAGTTGCACCGACATAGAAAAAGGTTTGCCATTTGGGATGGCTGGTGAATCTCAGATAAACCGCGGAAGGGACAAGCTGAGATGAGAAGTCAGAAGCGGGGGAATCCAGGCCAAGTCGGGCAAGCAGGGCTTTCAGTTGGCCAGAGCCACACGAGAGATGGCAAACGTCAAGTAGCTGAAGCTGTGCGAGTAGCCAGGAACAGAAATGACGTGCGGTGACGTCGTCGGTTGGGAAGAACCGGAGAGTGAAACGGAGGACAGCGAGAAATTGGCGGCAGTGGTGTTGCCAGAAACTGTGTTGCTTGGCTGTGCGTCGTTGTCGGTGTGCTGTTGAGAGTCACTGGTACAAGTGGCTTGCAGCGGCCAGGATGCGGCCCAGGGCCGATGACCCTAGTTTGGATAGGGTTCGCACTGGTACGCCCCAGAGCACGGCGGCTCGTTCCAGTTGGGCTCTGGTGTCGGAGTCCAGTGTGGTGGCCCATTTGGCGCAGTCGTTAGACCAGCATTTTAGGGTCTGCTTGCTTTCTTTGCTGATCTTCTGGGAAGTGATCCATCGCTGGACTTTGGTGTCGGAAATGTCGGGTGGGAAGTTGCTGGTGAGCCATTGGCAAACGTGGGGAGGGGGTTGGAGCAGGTCGCAAGGCTCCTTCCAGGTGGGGGGGAGGGGAGGGGAGAAGCCGCCGGGGTGCCGCCGTGGGTGGGGGGGGCCATGGGGGTGCCGCCGTGGATGGGGGGGGGCCGGGGGAGAAGGGGAGTCGTCAGCGGAGCAAGCGGGGAGGGGGAGGGCGGGGGAATCGTCAGGTAGCGGGGTGTCAGACGTGGTCAGCCGTGGCCGCTTCATGCCGAAGTCCAGAAGGGAGGCCTGAGAGGGGTCAGCCGGGCGTTTGCCGGATGAAGCGGGTGTAGGGGGAGGTGAAGGGGATGGTGCTTGCTGTGCGAGTTGGCTGTGTGCGACGGCAAGCTGTTGCTGGAGCTGGAGGATGGTGGCAGCTGAAGCTGGGTCAGTCGTAGTGGTGGGTCGTAGGGAGATGAGGAAGTCGAAGATCTTGCTGGTTAGTAGCTTCATGGCTGCTGGTTCGGTGGTCGAGGTGCCCTCCTGTGTAGCAACGTGAAGAGCGAGGGCATCCAAGTCAAGATGTCGTTGTCGGATTTGGCTGAGTAGCCCTGCGGCGAAGACTGACTCCGGCATCGACTTTGCGACAACGATGTGTACCTCACCTCCGTGGGCGAGGTGGCGCAACCACCAGCTGTTCCACTGTTCGTGCAGGAAGTTGAGGAGGGAAACTCGAGCGATGTCTTGTCCCTCAATGCCCAATTGCCGGGTGAACGCAGTATGCGTTATGACCTTGGGCAGGTCGTACCCTGCGACGCGGGTGGTGTCGTAGTGATCGTCGTCGGGGTTGAACTCTGCTGGTGTTGGGACTGAGTGGAGGGGGCGAAGAGCAGGAGGGGTGGTGGCCTTCGAGGCGGTGGAGGGAGGGGGGCCGCGCGTGAAGTTGCCGGGGGGAGGAGGGGGAAAAAGAGCGCCGCCGGGAGGAGGGGGAGGAAGTGGGGTGGCCGTGGGGTTGGCATGGAGTTGGAGGTGTAGTTGGTGGTGCCCAGGTCGTAGAGGAGCATCCATAGCAAGGTCCCAACAGGGCCCCGCACGGGGTTCCGGCCGTGTTGTTGCCGTACATGTTGCCATGGTGGTTGGATGCAGCGGGTGAAGGTTGTTGTGGAAAGTTTTGCCTATGGAGCATCGGTAACAAGCCTCGAGGGGGTTGGAAAGCCATGTGAAAACACAAGGGAAAGGGGCCAAGGCAACCAAAAGGAAGGGTCGCATGGCAAACGATCGGTCACAGAAAAGGCAACAAAGCGAACAACCGTGCATCAGTTCTTTTCCTGGTCAAATGGAATATGGTACGGTTCGCGCCCTGCTACGCCGGGCGCTGCAGCGCGACACCTCTCAGCATGGCATACTTGGAGTGGATGCACCATTTCTTGCCTCTGCGGCATGCAAAGTGGCGCCGCACGTTGTGCTGGTCCTCGTGGCTTCCCCCGGACTCCAAGATCTTGTGCTGATTGACGGAGCGCAGTTCCCCAAAAGCGATGGCTCCAAGCTGAGACTTTCCGATGGTGAAGTTCTGCAAAAGCTGGCCTAACGTGTCGGGGTTGCAGGCTGTGGGAGTGGCCTGAGCATAGCATCCAAAGCTCGGGTAGTCATGGTTCTCAGGTCTCCATGCAGCAGGCCGGATCATGTTCTCAAAGGACATGCGGCGCATTCGATCCGGGGTGGTGCCGTGAACATACATGACAGCGTGATGGGAAGCTGTGCCGGATCCGGCTTCCGGTTGCCCACCAGCAACCGGCCAGGGATGTGGTCGGGGAAACCAAGTGGTTGCGAACACCATGCCATGTGATTCCCGTCCCAGGAGATGGTAGAAGCTGGGGTCGAACGCTATGGGCTCATCCATGTCCATGGTTCGCAGTTCCCAGCATTCTGCGAGGAGGTCGGCATGTGACGGTGGCAAGGCAGGGTCCAGGCTCCTCAAATGGTCTTGGTCTGTTCCATTCTGGAGATGTCCAAGGCTGGAAGCGGGTCCAACTCCCCCAACTCCCTAGGCGTGGGAACTTGCATTGGGTCAGTCTTGGCTGTGTCCATGACGCTTCGCCAGAGATCAAGCCACCGGTTGTCGGAGTTTGTGCCAGACTCTGCCTCCGGTCACGTCGATCCAGGTCCTCAGCATCATCCAAGGGGTGCTGGGGGGAGGGGCGGGGAGGAGCAGGGTGGGGAGGAGGGGTGGGGAAAGCACAGGTGCAGGGGAAGGGGGTGTGCTGGCGTTGTTGTGGCCAGCGCGGGATGGGGGTTGCGGCTGGTGCCTAGGATGCTGCTGTGGCCAGGACTGTTGCTTGTCCTGACTGCTCCAGTTGCCTGTGTTGCTGGTGCTGTGGCGGTGCTTGCCCCAGCTGCTTGCATTGTGGCTCTGCGGTTGGTGTCCCCATGATTGGTTCCACCAGCGTGGAGAGGACCTTTGAGACTTGTCGGTGTCCCATCCGGAAGTGCGCCAGGAAGTGGAACCTTGGGAGGTGTGGGTTTGCGGGGCTCGATGTGGAGCCGTGGTCATGGGTGCGGGGGAGTGTCGTGGGGAGGACCTGCGTCGAGGGGAGCGTGAGCGGAGGGAGATAGGGTTCTGGTGCGATCGCCTGGAGCGGTGGTGGGGCCGTGAGGGGGAATGTGACCGGTTGGAGCTGTGTGCTCGCCGGGTGGTGTGTCGCCGTGGCGCCTTGTCGTGTCCCCGGTGATGGCTGGTGTGGGAGTGTGAGTGGCGGTGTCGCCTGTGGCGGGAGCGGGATCTGCGGGAGTGGGACTGGGGGCGAGTGCCCGTGGAATGTAGGTTGGTCAAGGGAGCGGCGGCAGGAGTCGTAGCAGCTGCAGCGGCTGCGCGTGCCGGCTGAGGCTCGGGCAATGAAGACGGCATGCTGTTCTGAGCCATGAGGGGCATCAGGGCGCCGGATGTCGCGTTGCCAAAGTTAGGAAGGCCACCGTAGGGCATCAAGGACATCGGGTTGCCAAAGTTCGGGAGGCCACCATAGTGGAGGTGCGAGGCTCATGGGCTGTATCATCTGGGGTGACAACTGCAGGTTCGGTCCACCGCTGCCAGGTGAGCCGGACACGGTGCCGGCCGCAATGCTTTGCAGGAGCGAGTGCATCATGTCATAGAGCTGGTGTCCAGCCATCTCAAAAGGGAGAGAGAGGGTTGGAAAGGGGGTGGAAACAAAAACGACTGTGGCAGATTCAGTCATGCATGTCAAGGCAAGACATCGCGTCAAATCAAGTCAAGGTGTCAAATCAAGTCGTCAAATCAAGTCGTCAAATCAAGTCAACAAATCAAGTCAAGGTGCTACCTAATCGTGAACGTGAATTGAACTGATCTGAGTCGGCGCAGTGCGTGAATCAATGAACTGCAAAGTCGGTGTCTGACCGGCTTGTCACTTGCGCATGAAGCTTCCGGAGCCTGATACCTTGTGAGAGCTGCCTTGTTCAAAAGGCAGGCAGTGCAATGCGAATGAAGCTGCGGAGCCTGATACCTCATGAGAGCTGCCTTGTTCAAAAGGCAGGCAGTGCAATGCGAAGGTGAACTGAACGTGAACTTTTGAACGTCATCCCCTTGCAGGGGGCTCCCGCATATGGCGAGTCCAGCCCACAGCGCCATGTCGGACAGGCCGTGGGAAACACACTTATCTCGAGAGGCTTCACTAGCCGAGATGAAAACCGCAGTCAGTAAAAATGCTTGAATGCAAATGCAGCAACAGGTCACAACATCGACGCCGAACAGGAAGCAACAGCGACAAACAGGAACCGCAAAAGAAGAGGGTCAAAAAGACTTTCAGAGTCACTCAAATGATGCAGGTACGCGGAGTTGATCAGACTCCGTATCAGCCGTGGCATAGCCCTCTTCGTTGGGCAACCAGCTATGCTCACGGGATTGCCCCTCTGCTCAGAAAAACTCCGAAGGGTTTAACGTCCGTGTTCCAGGACGGTTCACACACACACACGCGCACGCGCACACACACACACACACACACACACACACACGCACACACGCGCACACACGCGCCCACGCACGCACCCACACACACACACACGCACCCGCACCCGCACCCGCATACGCACACGCACACGCACACGCACACACACACACACACACACGCACACGCACACGCACACGCACACGCACACGCACACGCACACGCACACGCACACGCACACGCACACGCACACGCACACGCACACGCACACGCACACGCACACGCACGCGCACCCGCACGCGCACCCGCACGCGCACGCGCACGCGCACGCGCACGCGCACGCGCACGCGCACGCGCACGCGCACGCGCACCCACACCCACACACACACCACACACACACACACACACACACACACACACACACACACACACACACACACACACACACACACACACACACACACACACGCTCACACGCACACGCGCACGCACGCACGCACGCACGCACGCAGGCAGGCAGGCAGGCAGGCAGGCATGCACGCAGGCATGCACGTGCGCATGCACATACGCACGCATGTGTACATATATATATATATATATATATAATAGATATATATGTATATATCTATGTGTGTGTGTGTACACATGTGTATATATATAGAGATATATGTCTATCTATATGTGTATAAAGTGTGTGTGTGTGTGCCATGGCGTTGCAGCAGTTGCCGCTTCTGCAAGGGAGAGGCATGATTGCAATCGCCGCCATTTGCGGCTACGGCACGCCGCGCTTCTGCAGCGGCTACAGAAGAGACCCTTGCAGCTTCTGCCTGGAGCAGGTGGCCATGCCGAATCATGCACTGCGCTTCCCCATCCCTAAACTCCTACTGAGGGACCCTGCCCGTTAGAAGACCTGAAGTTTGCAGAAACCTTCTATTATTCTATTAGCTTCCACGAGTTTGGCCGAGGAGCAAAAATGGCACTGGCGCGCGTAGCACCGTTTGCAGCATTGCATCACCACAACTAGCATCATTGACATCATGAATGTTGACAGGCAGCTGAGCTGCTACTAATACATGATCCCAGCCAGATTGCAACCTTGTTTGACTTGCGCGAGAAAGTGGCTTCACCATGGTTGCCTCAACTATGCCATGTTGCCTCACAACTTGTTATATTGAACTGCAGACTTGGGGTCTGAGGCATACAATCTGCCAACGGGTCAATTTCTGTTGACAAATTGGAACGTAGCTACCCTTCTAAAGTATTGCTAGCTGTCTTGTTGCACCGTACTGCCCAGTTCAACTGGAAGCACGTCGCCAGAATTGTACATCATCCAGCCCGCAATCCAATTGCACGGCATTTCAGCCGAGACTCTGCATTCTTCCATGGGCAAGCCCGGCCCCATTATCCGCATGCCCCCCCCCTCCTTAAAAACATGCCCGCTTCTGGATAGCTGATTTTTTTTTTTAAATGGTGTGGCACCCTCCGTGTGTGGGATGAATCCATGGCCCCCAGTTGCCACACCCGGAATTCCTCTGCCAGACCCCTGCGGGACCCGCACCTCGTCAGCCCGGGCTGTGGCCGCCCGCAGCTCCTCGAGTCTTTGTTTGGTAGGTGCCATCTCAGCCTACCCAAAGCCAGCCCACGCAAGCTCCGTGCCATGCCCTGATTGGGCTGAAGAATCGCTCCACACGGCGTGTGGCGTCCATTTAACTTATCCCCGATGGTGGCCGAAGTCTCAGGTGGCATGCTTGTGGGGAACCTGTAACTCTCCAGCTAGCCGCTTAGCCCATTATAGCTTTAAGGGAGCGTATGGGACCTGGAAAGCACGGAACGCAAACCGAAAGAAACCAAACAAACAATGCCAAGGCTCCACCTCCTTCGCCTTTACCTCCGCCAAATGCGTCGCACATGTCGCACGCTGCATCTCCAGCTCCTCCTGGAGGCCTTAGCCGAGCTGAGCAGCCCCGCTCACTCCAGGCGAGGGGGCAGGCCAATGGTGCCCGCGTTTCCGTTAAAGCGGCACGCGGTGATGTCTACAGAAGCGTTCACGGAAGCCCTGGATTAGCCCATAGTCAAGACTCCTTGTAGGGACGGTCTTGAAGGCGCTCGGAACCTTTTTTTGGATGCTCAACGGCCATGCCGGTCGGCACTGTTTTACCGGGTCACTGGACTTTGACTGCGTTGACTCTGGCACGTTCTCCCCCGAAAATGGGGTGCTCCAAGGTCATTGGGAAATCCCTGTGCACTACAGGAACACGCACAGGCGCACGCACAGGCGCACGCACGCACGCGCACAAGCACACGTGCATGAACACGATGCACACGTTACACTCCCCCATTTCCCCGCATCACCCATCTGAGGAACTTCATGTACTCAACCCCCCCCCCCTGGTCCCACATTCTCGCTAGTGACCGACCCTTGTAGACAGAGTTGCGGCAATTCACCCAGTTGGTTGGGTGCTTGCGTTTGTCATCTTACATGTTTGCACCCAAAACAAAGTTTGTTTCTAGAAGTGTAAATGGGTGTGTCTTCGTTTGAGGGTGCCTGTTGCTTGCTCGTTTAAAGGCAAAGGGAAAGCCGAAACCAATCCGGGGGTCCCATTCCCAAAAAAGACCCAAATCTCTCCCTAACATCACTCCACCCCAAAAAAACATCTTGAGGGTTGCCCAACAGAATTCCCCCCAAAAGATCCAATTCAAAAACAAAACAAAAAACGGAAATCCGATCTTCGAATTCCCCCCAAAACAAACTTCTCCGCGACCGAAGCAAATCCGAGGGACGGCTGTAGGCCTCTTCCATCTCCTGTCGCTGATGCTGTGCCTCGTCGCGCATGGTGCCGGTGGCGCTCGACAGCTCCTGACCCACGCAACGGTCAGGTGGCAAACGCTTTGGGGGCCGTGTGGCCTCCCCAAAACTCGCAAAGGGGAAGAAATCCCTCCAGCAAACCACCAACATTTTGAAAATGTACAGGAAATCCTGTGGTTGTGGGTGATTATGAGGCCAATGTCCTGTGGAGTTTCCGGTGGCTGGTTTCTATGACCTTTCGTGAGTGGCACCAGGAGCGTCTACTTAAGTCTACTAATGTTGACCCTGGTATTGGTAAACGCGTCCAACAAAATGCGGGAGTGTTCCCCTCCAAAAGTACCGAACCCCACCTTTTCAGGGACACCCCCTATCAACAAGCTAGCGTTTACAAATCCGTGGTTCCCATTCACCACGGAAGCCTCCCAAATGTGCAGGCTCCTTTCAGCTGTTAACACCTGTTGAACGCCAACAAATCTACAAGAACCAATTACGAACCAAACAACAATTCAATAATATCAATAAATACAACACAAAACAAAACAGACCAAGCAAACCGGAGAAGAAAAAAAAGAGACACAGCCAACTTGCACTCCAAGCACTCAACAAGGACCTCACGCCTCGATCTCCGAGGTGAGTTGCTGCCTCTCCACCTTCAGCTGCTGCCGCTCCGCCTCCAGCTGTTGCACCTCCTGGACTTTCGCGGCATGCCTGGCCACAGGGTTTTTTTGAGTTGACGGTGCTGGGCTGGGCCTGTAGAAGAACCAATTGAGCGGTGTCTTCTTTTTTGCCGCGGCATCTCCTGGCCCGCCCTTGCAGCAACCTAGTTTGCTGAAAGGAACAGGGGCTGGACACTGAATGCGCGCTGGTCTGAACCCAGCGGCCAAAGAGAAATTTCAAATCCCTGCGAGGCTTTCGCAGGGCCGGCGCAGAGGCTTCTTTCGGAGGTTTTGATGAGGCAAACGCTGTCGAGGGCTTCCGCGGACGTGGGAAACTACACTAGTGCCGGCTGGTTTGCTGCGATTCCTGAGGCTATCTGACATGGTTTCCTGCCAACGCTGGCATTCCCTCGGAACTCCTTGCCACTCTGAGTCTCTCCCACGCCTGCTCTGCAGGTCGGACTTCTCCTGGGCCAAGCTGTGCAGCTCCAATTCCAAGCTCGCAGTCTTTCCTCAGAGGTGGCTTGCGGGTTTAAGTTCAGCGCAGTTCAGGGCAGAAAATTCCCTTACATTTGGATAGCAATCGCATGTGCATCGCGACACAAATTGCCGCTCTGATCGTTGGTCTGACGTCCCGTCACTCCGAAGCCAGCCCAGTGTTCAACAAACGGGGCGAAGTCCTGATACTATGATACTAACCACGCATGACTTTGCATGGCAGGGCAACAAATGACTCTGCATGGCAGGGCGACAAATTGCCGGCATTCCGCTACAATTGGATGCTTCAAAAGGAACACTCTCAATCGAAACTTGGTACCAGAAAGGTCAAACCAGAACCATGCAAAGAATTAAAAAGGTGGTTGCACCCATTTATGGTTCGGACCCTCCCTTACCAATCTTCATCTACCCGGGTTTTGACTGTGGCTCTGTGAGTCGCCTTACCAGGTGCGGCCAGCCTCCGGACACGAGCCAACGAAACCCCCATTGCATCGAGAGTCGGATGCTCTCCTGGCTGCTCTGATCGAATTTCTTCTCCAAGTCCTCGAGTTGCGAGAACCTCAGAGAGCTGCGTGGCCATCTCCGGGCCTACGTGTACCCTCTGCTCAGCCACTAGGACCAACACCGGCTCAGAACTTTGCATGATGAGTCATAGGCTGAAAAGTGGGCTTTCTACAAAGCATTCACAAGTACAGCCACCAGGTTCCAACCCAGCTGACGGCGGCAAAATCCAGCCAAACCCGGCCCTCCGCTTGCTCGTGTTTACTTCAGGAAATGAACCAGCGTCGCAGGAGTGCTGTTGACATCGGCTGCAAAAGGGATCCAAAACGTAAACGGGAACCGCCGCATTGCTGAGATGGTCGAAGGGGGCCACTTTTCGGGACCCCCGGCAGGCTGTCGCGCTTCTCATGGAGCTGCTCATTCCTCAGCTTCAATTCTGGCCTTCCGCAAAAGTTGGCACAAGCCCAAAACAGACACTCAGAGCCCCCTGTGCCCCCGGCTGCCCCTGCAGCTGCTGCGTTCTTGCTTCCAGCCGCCTCGGCGCGAAAGTCCCCACGCTCCCTGCCCAGAATGATGCACATGGCACATGGCCTGAAAGAAAGAAACTGGGGGGGGGCAAACGGGCTAAAACTTTCTAAAAGCATCCAAAAGCAAACGGGAACATGACAAACCACGAGGTCTGCTTGCGGTCTGGGCTGACGGCTGGACAGTGGCCTTCTCGACCGAGAGCGCCTCAGCCTGGCCGGGCCCAGGCTTAAGACAGTTTCCCTCCAGTTGGTGATTTGGATTGGTGGTTTGGTGGCTCAGAGTGGTCTCCCATTTACCCCCTACAAGAAGCAGGGCTTCAAATCCCAAACACAAATCCAAATCACCAACCAAGGATAGCCTGAACGAAGCAAATGGCAAATCAAAAAATGAGAACGGTGCCAAATCCCCCAGCGACAATCGTTGTTTACCCAGTCAGATTAAGTCATGACGCATGGTGCTACATTGAAGATGCACATTCAGTTCAAGACAGGCTTGGCGCAATATGCGCAATGCAACTCCTGACGAGCTTCCTTGGCATTACTACCGGTCGAAAGAGCAAGGTTGCATGGCCGCAGCGCAAGGGGAGTTTGGACATGGAGCATTTACAACATGTTTCATCAGTTTATAGTGCAGTTGACATGTGTGTGTGTGTGTGTGTCTGCTCTTTTCAGGGAACCCTTTTTAGGTGGTCTTACAGGGAACCCAGTGAAAGCACAATTTTGAGGGTCCCCTTAAACAGCACGCATCCAATTGTACCTAAGATGGCCCGAGCTGTTGCAAGATTTGGGCTTGGCACGGGAAACGAAACCCACGCTGTTTGTCACCTCGCCACATCGCGATGTCCGGCACAACTTACAGCCGGGTTCAGTTCTGAACCAAACTGCTGGCCTGGATTGCTTTTGAAAGAAATTGTCATCAAAGATCCTGAGAACATGGCGTGACTATCCCAAGCAAGCAGGCCATTGGACCAAGAGCGTGCACGCCTTGGCATCGAGTTCTGTTTGGAGCTGTCGACCTGGGCACCAGGTGGTCCAGTTGAGGTCCCTCCGCGCTGGTTGCAAACAACTTGTCAGGGCATGTTTGGCCTCATGAATCACCTCACCAGCACAACCACCCATGCGAAGACTTCGGGCAAAACTGTTGAACAGGTGGAGCTGTATAGCTGCAGAAACCAGCTACCCAGAAGGCACATGAGCACAAATAGCTGGACAGATTTCCCGAGCATGTTTCATGAAGTTACTACCCTAGTGCAGCTGGATCATAGGGCTGGCCAAGTAGACGTGCTGCCTCTCTTCACTGCCCATGGAGCTCAAGAGTACACGAAGCCGAACCCATGGTCCCACACTGACAAAGCCACAGCGTACAAACATGCGACAGAGCTGCAAAGTCACAGACGCAGCCGAATTTGGGCCCAAGAATCAATTCACAGCGCCTTAGAGGACATCCCTTGAGGGAGGGTTGAGGCGCTCCTTGCTTCCCCACTTCGCTGTCCCTCTGGGCGTTCCCACGGCCGGCCTCCGCTTGGGCCCTGAGGTCCTCGGCGCGCTTGAGCCGAACGTGCGACGCGGGACGGCGGGGGGAGGTTCGGTGAAGGGCGACGGGGGGTGGGGGGTTGCAACGGGGCATGGCATGTGGCTTGGACCGCAGGAGGCATAGAGGGCGTTGCCATGCTGGATGCTGGGGTAACATCGTCGTCCTACCGCAAACCTTTTAAGCCAAACCCGAAACGCCAAGACCTCTTGCAAAAACGCAAAAACATATGGCCCGTGCTGCATTGCTTCGGTGGCACAGTTGTTGGACCCAAGTGCCGGCAGGCACTTGGCCCACAATGTCTAACTTCGCAAGCAAGCGTCAAAATCAACCACAGGTGGTGTCATTTCATGGCTAAAGCCAATATGCCCTCGAAGCCATGCTTTGAATATACGAGGTCCGGCATGTTTTGGGCTTCAACCGGCCGGTGTTGGCTCCGATTTCGTTTCGCCAGTCCAGAAAGTGCTCCCCTCGGAGTATCGATCAAGCAGCTGCCACCTGCAACTGAGCAAATTCCTCTTGCAGGGACCCTGTCAGGCACCAAGTTAGTGGGCAGGGGCACTGGCTTGGACTTCGCAAGCAAAACAACTGCTTTGGGGGCCAATACTTCGGCGTCCAGGACAAAGCTCCTCAATCACCTTCAAGCCATCTTCGTCCCATCCCCCCCCCCCGCCCACTGGGGCAGCCAGCCCGCTCCACATCCTTAGAAGTCAATAGGCTAAGAGCAATGGATGAAGTTGCACGCTTGCTCCAATGTGCTCAGGTGTGGGGGGGGGGGCATCCCAAAATAAGTTCACTCACTGTCTCAAATCGAAAAGTTAGCAACTGGGAATGACTCGGGTACAAACGTTCAAACTGTCCCGACCGATGGCCAGCGGAGCCAGTAAATGCTATTCGGAATCAGGGACCCTTCTGCTGGATGGCTTGTGACACGCACAAAAGTCTTGGCCTATGACAAGTATGCTCTTCCTTTTGCAGTGCGGGCCAACCTCGCTGTGTGTGTGTGTTTGCGGGTGGCCAGCAAGCCTGGATATAGCCCACTTAGGAGACTTGTAACCATGGTAAGCGGCTTATAACCAGGCTTACTAACCTACTAAGTACCCTGTCCCTTCAAGTCCCCTCAACAAGGGATCCTCACTTGACCGCGCCAGCATGGCCCACGAGCGTGCGCGCCGGTTTCGTCTCCATCATTCGCCAGCATCTCTCACAGCTGCACTACTGAGACCCGCCGGGTGCCCCCGAAAACACTGCGGTCCTGTCATGAAGCTCGCAAATCCCAGCTCTGACACATATACTTATATACATATGTATCATATGTATATACATGTGTATATATATATATATATAGTAAATCTAAATTCACATAGACGCATCCCAGCACTGAACCCAAAACAGCAACACAGAAATGGTCTCAAAGGCTACCACCAGGCGGATCTCTCGAGCTGCCAGATGCTAACTCTCCGCGGGAAGATGCTCTCTTGCTCGAGCGCGAGATGCTCTCTCGGGCCCAACAGTTGCCCTGTTCCACCTGAGCCCATGGCCTTACAAAGTCCAGTTAGTTGCCCCTGGAAAATATGAGAATATGTCCAGTGATAGATTCACTTTGAAACCAACAGGGGAAAACAAAAATAGTCTTAAACAAATGGAAGCAAATCTGCCGCCCCGTTTTCGAAACTCCGCCAACACACCACCACCCCCCCCCCCAACCCACCCTGTCGTCCCCATGTCCAGGGCGTCTGCGCGTCTCGGCGCTGCGGCTCACTCCTCCGCGGCCTCGGCCTCCACGGCCTCCACGGCCTCGCCCGCCTCTTGTGGCACGATGTCCGTGCCCGGGTTCGGCTCGTAGAAGTCCTGGCCGGCGTGCAATGAGGGACCCAGACCAAGAAAACTCCCCTTTGCACCCTGCCAAGCAACGTCCTCGTGGAAAAGACGTTTGAAGTTGTTGGGACTTGGAGACCCGCCTGAGTTGCAAATGAAGTACCGAAAAAGGGTCGCCCGGGTGGCCTGACTAAGGCCGCAAAATCTCAGAGGAGGCCTTGCAAAGTCAAAGGCTCGCAGCCTGAAAGGGATACACTCCATCCGCTCCATCTTGACAGCGGTTTTCATGCTGATCAAGTCTTGGTGGGGGAACGCTGGGCAGGAGGGGCTGTTGTGCACATCGGCCTCTTGCAACTCAGTAGTTCACACTGCGTGTTGGAAAGATAGTTGGAAAGAAGCAACCCCCCTCTGCAAGGAGCACATTGATTGCTTGCAAAGCCACGGATCCCACGGCATAGCAAAACATGTCCTACAATTTGGATGTGTCTTTTTCAGGCGACCCCCAAGAATTGTGGTTTTCCGTATGGTTTCCCTTTAACACCAACCACAAAAAGGGTACCCAAAAAAAAGACAGACCCATATAACACGTGGCCTGGGCAAAGCTCATCTGATAATCTTGACTGTGCTTCTCTTAATCGTTTCAAGCAAGGGGGCAGCCGCTCCTTCTTGACCGCCCTGCGTGTGACCCGGTCAACTGTCCACACAGTCTTCGTTGGTGTTGACATCTTCTTCTGGATGTCCCTGGGTGCAGTGACTCGCCCTTCGATTTATGCTGTCACGGGTTCTGAGGCAACTTAAGTCAGACTGGGCATGCTCGCAGTGATGCAAGGCCAGCATGGCTGCTTCTGTTCAGAAAGATCGCGGGGTCGCAGGATGCTACAACTCAGTTCTGCAGGCATCCTTGCAGCATTGTTGCAAAGCTTCCCCTCCAATGAGTCAATGATGTTTGTTGTCATGCCTGCACAAGCCACTCCAGCGCACTCAGGGAGGGGGGGGCGGTGCTGCTAATTGCTTCTCTGGGAATGTTGTCCACTGGCAGGTCTCAAAAAATGTTGCAAAGGAGCCCAACTTTCTGGTTCATCTCGTAGATCAGCGAGCCGATCTGGTCCTCGCCCTCCTGGTTTCGGATTTCCCGCATCATCGCCTCGGCTCTTCACAAACAGATATACAAGATCGCCGAAAAGAACTGGCCTGCTGCCTGGTGAATGTTTGAAATGGGACGGGGGGCATCAAATGTCAAATCATGAGCCCCCTCTCTCTCGCGCTCTCTCTCTCTCTCTCTCACTCTCTCTCTCTCTCTCTCTCTCTCTCTCTGTCTCTGTCAAAATGCGATCTTGGGACTCAAGCTTGACATGTGGCTCTTAGAAGGGCTCAATTCTCAACGTCGAAACCAGGAAGCGGCGTCTCAAAATTCCATTTAACATCCGGCAGTCATTCCACAAATCGGTCAAGAACTACCACATGAAGGGCTCAAGGGATCTGACAAACGAGACTGGAGACTCTCGTGAGAGGGGTCAGGACCCTTTGGCCCCCATGTCCATCAAGGCCGTGCAGCAAGTTGTTCCTGCCGCTCAGGCGCCATGCCCTCCTCAATGGTGTTCCAGTTTTCATTCACCTGGTTGTTCGACTGCTCCGTGAAGGCCTGGAGAGCAAGTTGGCTTCTCCAGAAAAAAAGAAGAAGAAAAAAAACGATCACAAGGGATATACATATCTGTATATATATATATATACACATGTTTTTAGGGGACGCCCCGAAATGGTGGTTTTCCTGTGGGTTTCCCTTCGAAACCACAAAACAGAATGGGTACACTCACAAGTTGCGAACAAGTCAAAATCGCTTTATCCACCGACGGCTGCCAACCACCAACAATTGGACCTTCTCCTTGTCACCCTTGTTGCCAATGCTTGACTCGCTCAAGCCACCCTCCGCAGGTGTTCTACTAGACATGTCTGCACAACGTGGCCAAATCAAGTTTAAGACTTGCATGAAGAGAGGCATGGCTCCCAACTTCCCCAACTTCCCCAACTCAGCATGCGGTCCAGCATGTCTTGCCCCGACTCCAGGAACCAAAACACAAAACTCGACGCTCAAAGCTCCCCTGCTCCCATGCCTGTGGGATCTCTTCCAGCTGCTTCATGCGCGACATCGTGTCCTAAGCGCCACTCTGAAAGGCAGGAACACACATGAGCTCGCAAATACTCCCAAAGAAAGCTGGTGGCCAAATCAGCAACTCTGACGCCCTGCGGCAGCCCCCAACACTCCGCCTCCCGTTTCTCCCAACCCTTTCTCCCTCCCCAGAACCAGTTCATCAGTTTCATGCAGCCCTGGGCCATCTTCTCCCAGCCTCCCCCCCAACCCAGTGAGTCCATTTCCCAACCAGAAGAACCAGCCTTCAAAAACCAAAAGACAATGACTGGCTACCCACTATATTATATAGGTATATGACTTCACCGGGATCCACTGGCTAAGACTGGCAGTCCTGGTAGGCCAAGACGGCCTTCGCCATGGCCTCCCCGCTGATGTCCTGCGCTGCCGCGAAAAGCTCCACGGAGTTCTGGCTGTGAGGCCTCAGCTGGCCGAGCAGTCGGCGTCTCGAACGCCCACGGATAACAAATGCGTTTCTCAAACAACAACTCACTCCCCAATATCAACAACAACCTAAATGGAATCAAGGACTAACCTGCGGTCGCCTGGCGGTTTGATTTTGGCCCATACCCGATATTTGCAACATGTCTCGAGATCAGGAGCTGCGGAGGTGAGAAAAATGCCAAGTCTCTTCCTTCTCCTCCGCCCAGCCTTGCGGCTAAGAGGCAGTGCCTCATCCGGGCTGGTCTCCGCACACAGGGCATGGGCCAGCGTCTGCAGCACGGCGCCTTTCCCATGCGCCGCCTCCTGGACACAGGGGCCAGTTTCCCCGTCAAGCATCACCACGAGGGAAACATCAATCCAATTGGCGCAAAACGTGACAAGCCAAAGGGGAAACATGAGACCTGCAAGCGACTGAGCCGTTTGCTGACCACGGCCATTCCATTAGATCCCGCCCCCTTTCATCCCTACCCTGAGCGCTTCTGTCTGTTGGTGCTAGGCCAAAGATCAAAACCAGACTACGAAAAGCTTGTTGGACACAACTCCTTATTGCAGTGCATGGAGAGGGCTTCCTACTCCTTCATTTGCTGCTTAGGTTTCTAGGGGTCCAAAAGAAAAACTTGGAAAGCGGATGCCTGCACATCTGAACAGCAGGGTTGTTGATGTTACGGCCTGACTCCCACGGCTTCAGCCAAACATACCAACTGTCCAAGGCCAACCTTGCACAAGGTTGCCCTCACAAACGCTTCCCTGTCCTTTGGCGTCATCTTGGCCTCGGGCCAGGACACCAAGTCAAGTCATGACGCAGCAACTGTCACCAATCCTGCTGGGCCTTGGTTTGCCCGCACTTCCACCCCCAAACATAGCTCATGTGTTGAGCCGTGTGCAAAGTCCTGCTAGCGTACGGGAACACGATACATTCTCGGGTGATTCCCTGCGCATCCGCGGGTCAAACTCCGTCGAAATTATGCCGCTGTACGGGGAAGGAGGGGGCGGGGCTGGCCATTTTTCCCAAAGGGGTTGAGCAGGGGCCAGCTCGGCGGGCAAAGCCTTCCTCGCGGGCCAACTTCTGCAGATTTCCCCTGGAGTTCCGACCCAGCAACAGCTTCTGCAGCGACCTAGCCGCTTCCCTTCGCACTGCACGCTCAAGGCATCCAAGTTGGGATGTGTGCCCGCCCACCCATTCAAAGAGATGGAGCAAAAAGGGTGTGTGTGCGTGTATGTGTGTGTGCGTAAGAATATATATGTATATATGTGTGCATGCATTGCTTGCACGCATGTATGCCTGTATGCATGGGCATGTATGCTTGATGCATGCAGGCATGCATGCATGCATGTATGTGCACGCACGCATGTATATATGCATATGTGTGTGCATACGCATGTGCATTAAGATGCGCAATATGAACATGTATGTGTGTGTGTGGGTGTGCGCGTCTGTGTCTGCATGTGCATGTGTATGTGTATGCATGTGCGTGGTGTGTGTGTGTGTGTGTATGCGTTTATTTGTCTACGTGTGTGCGTATGTGTGCGTATGTGTGCGTATGTGTCCGTACGTGCGTACAGGTGTGTATGTGTCTGTGAGTATGTGCGTGTGTGTGAATGTGTGTGTGAGTATGTGTGTGTGTGTGTGTGTGTCTGTGTGTGTGTGTGTGTGTGTATGTCTCTGTGTGTGTGTGTGTGCGTGCGCGCGTGCGCGTGTGCGTGTGCGCGTGTGCGTGTGCGTGTGTGCGTGTGCGTGTGCGCGTGTGCGTGTGCGTGTGCGTGTGCGTGTGTGCGTGTGTGCGTGTGCGTGTGCGCGTGTGCGCGTGTGCGTGTGCGTGTGCGTGTGCGTGTGCGTGTGCGTGTGCGTGTGCGTGTGAGTGTGTGGGTGGGTGGGTGGGTGGGTGGGTGGGTGCGTGGGTGGGTGCGTGCGTGCGTATGTATGTATGTATGTATGTATGTATGTGTGTGTACGTATGTACGTATGTATGTATGCGTGCATGCATGTATGTATGTATGTATGTGTATGTGTGGGTGTATATGTGTATATATGTCTATGTGCGCCTATGTGTGTCTGTGTGCGTATGTGTGTATATGTGCGCATGTGTGCGCGTGTATGTGTGTGTATGTATGCGTATGCGTGTGTGTGTGTGTGTGTATGTGTGCGTATGTTCGTGCATGTGTGTGTGTGTGTGCGCGTGTACGCTTGCGTGCGTATTTGAGTCTATGTGTGTATAGTACACATATGCTGATATATATATATATATATACAACTATATATATATAGATATGTGTGTATGTATGTATATGCAAAAACACATATACAAACATACATATATAGATGTGTGTGCGTGTGTGCGTATCGCCCTCTCTCTCTCTCTCTCTCTCTCCCCCCCCTATTGCTGCAAGGACCCCCGCCTCGTCGTAGTACTTCAAGGCCTCCTCCGCCGTCTCCTTGCACTCCTTCAGCTCCCCGATGGACAGGTGGACCTGGCCGGCCGATGTTCGGTTTTCCCCCCCCCTCCCGTGCCCGCCCGGCCCTGGGGGCGTCCACTTCTTGCGGGGTAGCCTTGGGGGTGGTTCAAAGGGAAGCCAAACGGAGTCCACTTCCTCTCTTTTTTTTGGGGGGGGAGAAGGGGCTCACAAAGCAAATAGACCCCTATGAGAGGAACCAAATGGGTGACGGAAATTTGGTCAGGTATCTGAGCAAGTCGATCACCCAAATTGTCGTACCCCTCCCCATCAAGGAAAGCATGTGCCATAAATATATACATACATACATACATACATACACACACACACACACACATACATACATACATACATACATACATACATACATACATACATACATACATTACATACATACATACATACATACATAACATAACATAACATACATACATTACATACATACATACATACATACATACATACATACATACATACATACATACATACATACATACATACATACATACATACATTACATAACATACATACATACATACATACATACATACATACATACATACATACATACATACATACATACATACCATTACATTACATTACATTACATTACATTACATTACATTACATTACATTACATTACATTACATTACATTACATTACATTACATTACCATACATACATACATACATACATACATACATACATACATACATACATTACATACATTACATACATTACATACATACATTAATACATACATACATACATACATACATACATACATACATACATACATACATACCTGAGGAAGGTGAAATAAACTTTGAAAAGATATACATACATTACATTACATTAATACATACATGCATGCATACATACATACATACATACATACATTACATACATACATACATACATACATACATACATACATACATACATACATACATACATACATACATACATACATACATTACATACATACATACATACATTTATACATACATACATACATACATACATACATACATACGTACATACATACATACATACATTACATTACATTACATTACATTACATTACATTACATTACATTACAT